GTATTCGTGGTTAGTAGTCCTATAATAGTAAATGTAGGACAGAAACTAAAGTGCAACCGAAATCTTGAAAGAATACACACCTACCGAAAATATCATCCAAGACCAGTAAAAATGAAGATGTAACTTAAATCTTCTTTATCCAATTGTCTGTGATGTAACTTAACTTAGCCTAGCCTAATTAAAATCCAGTATTTGTAAGTTTAGACCATAAATAAAAGCAGAACACTTACCTTTGAGGGTTGTAGAAAATTGATGATGAATTGAAAACATAAATAAGTTAGGTTGATCTAGCGAAAATCTTAAAAGTAGGCCTAGGACCAACGGTAACACCGATGGCCAATAAACTTCTTGATTCTTGAACTTAAATAAGTTACAACTGTAAAATAAACTTTTAAAACTAACTAAAAAACTGAATAATTAACAGCTAAGTTTTGGAAACAACGATTGAAATATTGATCTCGAAGAGGGCAGAGACTACACAGAATAAAAAGAAGAAGAGATAAAGTAAAGAACTCGAACTGCAGCAGAAACACAGAACTAAACAACTAAAACAAAAACAACAATGGCGGCCTCGGATGACGGCTAGTCCTAGTCGGCGTTACGGTACTGTCCGACCCATTCGATACTATCGTGCTAATACGATTTTCAATGCATATCGAAAGACCATCAATGCTCCGCGTAGAAAGGATTTATGATTTATTTCAGTTATACCTTAGTAATAATAATATTAGTTATTAATTATTATTATTAACTTATTTAGTTTTTCTAACTTAGACTGTAGTAGTTACATAAATTTAAATTAATCATAACTGCCCAGTAAGCTATCGAATAGAAATATCGAGCCTATCAAGTTCGATGTTGATATTGACTATCGATATAATTCTAGTATCTATCAGTCTGGCTTCGATATTTTTATTCGGATCCAATAAGTCAACGCTGCAACCCCAACCCCAATCCCAAACCGGTTCGGTCTAACTACACTTCTTGGCTTGGTGAAGGAATTCTACAAGTGACCTTCGCACTTGCCACCCCTTTGTATTACAGTTCTTTGTCTAGCTGCCTGTATTGTAAATTCCTACTGTCCCTTCTTCTAAGAAAAACTTTCTCTAAAAGCAACTGTTTGGTCTGAGTGAAAATATCTCTTTCTCAAGGCTTTGAGCAAAATTTACAAATCTATCTGGTATGAATCCAGGAAAATGGTTAATGTATATTTGACGTAAATATATGTATATTTTACGTCAATATTAAAGTATATGGGATGTGAATAAGTTACATTCAGTATACATTAAATGTATCGAGAAATAGGCCAGAAAATAGGTTTAAATCAATCACATATTAATTAAGACAGTATTTCATGCTGACCTAAAACAAAAGGTAACGATATTTTCTATGTAAATATCAGCGAGTAAATTATATGTGAATTTTACATATTTCAATATACTTTACATAGTTTACCAAGATTGACCTAAAATATATGTATATAATACCTCGTGTGCTGACTGGGTGATTTTATTGCAACCGGCTCTAAGGAATTACAATTTTTATCCCATGTCAATAAAAAGGCACCCTTCTCAAAAATATAATTATAATTATAAAAATATAATTTGGACTATTTTTATACAGAGAAAGTCTGGTGTGAACATTGAAATAAGTCTAAGTGGCATATATAGTAGAGTAACTTGCCAATATCTTATCGTCTCCGCGATTGTGACACACCTGTGAGCATGACTTGCAGTCTCGGCAACACCGGCAACCGTATCACGCAATCGGGGTAATATTAATCGCAAACGGGTGTGAGCATATCTTGCGGTCTCAGCGACACTGATAATCATCTTTTCATCTCCCGTAATTTTTGCAACACTAGTGAGTATATTTTGCGGTCTCGGCGACACCGATAATCGTTAATCAATAAATAACCAGTGATTGGTCTTTCGGTTAATCAATGTTTCCAATGACCGGGCTCAGGATTCCTGGAAGTTTGGTTAGTTCCTATAGTTTTCCAGGACTTTTAAAGGTAATGTTTAGGTAATGTACACTCCTGACGACATTCATGTATGTACAGTATAGTGAAATTAATAAAGTTTTATGAATTTTATTGAATTGAATAGTTGAAGGATTCTCGGTTTTCCCGAATTTCCCGGAGAGTGGACACTATGTTGTATAGGTTTCTGTTGTTACAAGGGTAAGGCCTATTGCAGGTCAAACCTGTTACAAACATACCCCTCATCATAATTGCCTCCCTTAGTCACAAACAATTGTTGAACATCCCAGCGATCGCAACAACATCATCGTCGTCGTATTCACGGTGCGATTGATTGCAAAGATATCATCGCCAAATCTCCCAATTGAGGAAAGATCTTGACCATACCCCTCAATCACGAAAACAGAGCACCTCCCATGGTCACAAAGACATCATAGTCACGCACGATCGGGGAAAAACTGAGAGCATTAATCGCAATGGAAAAAAATTTGTATTGTCTCCCATGATCGAGGCAAAATTTTGTGCTTCCCCTGATCACAGCGAAATTATACAACACCTGTTTTTGACTAAAAACCACCATTCAGTCCAAATAATGAAACGGAGGAAGAAAGGCCTCCAAAACTCCAACCAATAACTCCATAACAGTGGCGTACATAAGGGGGGTGATCAGTGTGATCAATCACCCCCCAAAGACAAATTATATTTTTTGTAATAATATTATTTAGGAAAAATACAAATTAAAAATAAATAACATTTAAATATTTTTAAATACTGCTGTTTAAACATATATCGTTAAGCGTGTATAGGTTAAGAATAAGCATTAACTAAAACTTAACAATTTAAAACTTAAATTAGCAAAAGGAAGCAGCAATGTATCTGCAAGCCACAAGTGAGACAAGTACTATCATAGACAAAAAGAATAAAATATAGACCGTCAGCTGTGCTGCGGTTACCATAGGTTCTGGCGCACACCACTGGGAGCGCCACGGTAGTTACAGCGTACGCGCTACGTAAACTACAGCGGTGTGCGCCGGAAACTATGGTAACCATGGTAACCCCAGCACGGCTGACAGTCTATATTTCATTCTTTTTGTCTATGGTACTATGCTGTTGGACACACACCACCAGCAGGGGGGAGACAATGCTGTTGAAGGGTGGGGGAGGGGTGGGTCTAAGCTTTAAACAAAAACTGTACACATCCAATAGCCTAAATACTGCGTATTACTGTTTTGAGAAGTTATTTATTCAATCCAACATAATCTATATTCATATCAGTTATATTGTTCATAAGTGCTACATCATTAAGAAATACCAAACCTGCAGACCAAGCGAATTTCCATTTGACTGATTGGAATTATACTAAAAAGTCTCTTTATCACATTTATTCCTATTTAAATAGAATTGGTTTAGTGAGTACTTAGGTTTGCTGCAACAGGGAGGGTAAATAAGTTGTTTTTTTTGTTGTTGTAAAATGTTAATTGTTAATAACTATGTTCATAAACAAGGAAACTACTACAGTTGCCTTATAAGAATAACATGGTAATTTTAAATTTACAATTTTTTGGAATTTTCTCCGTAACCATTAGGCGCATAATGACGTTTGCTTCAATATACTAAATTATTTGTCTTTTTAAGCTCTACAAAGTGGTTTGGAAAGAAATTGTGAAACTTTGTGTTTTTAGGGTCAAAAATGGGAAAAACCTATTTTTACCCTCAAACCCCCGTTCCTATAGTCCAATCATGATGGATCGTGAACTCGTTTGGATAAATGTAGGTTTACACATTTATACCAAACTAGTGAACCCGTGTGGCTCAACAGGCCGCAAAATAACATATAGTAGATTTCCAAAAGAGACTTAAAACTACTTTTAACCAATAACTATTTGTTATCACATACAAATTATCGTTTTAATAAAAGGTTGTTTTATCTAGCCAGGAGCTCATATCCCACGTAAGCTGGATATGAGGAGTATTACTGTGTACACCGAATTCATTTCTTAAAATATGTAACAATTTTTTTTACTTAATCTATCATGGCATCAGATCCATGTTGTCGTCTACTCCATAACATTCTGTTAAACAAACTACACCAAATTCTCCCACCATAGGGGGACACGGTCAATCTCCTTTCATTGCCTAGCTCAAATTTCAATTGATTTGATTTCCATGGTGTTTTTGGCTAACTCAGGTTTTTGTTTAACGGGATCCGGTTCACCGGTTAACCCTTCCCGGACAGGCGAAATGGTGAAATAGAACGGGAAAGAGTTATAGGAAAAAATATAAATTAATTTCCCTTATTTGTGTTTTGTTATACAAGTATACATAAAACAAACACAATGGAACACTTCATACTATCAAAATAATTTTTTACTTGTTTTTAACTAAGCGGGAACATATCCACTACCTGTCCGCGTATGAGTAGAAAAGCAGCCACCCGTCCTTTATCACCAAAGACTTAGGCGGATATATCCGTCATCCGTCCGGGAAGGGTTAAATGTGTTACTACTATTAGCAATGATCAGTTAAACATATAAATTGACAAATTTTAAAGTTCACTAAAAGGAAGCAAATTTAGCGTTAAGAGGTTTCAAGAAATACAATACTCGTGGAGGATAAACTAAAGCCATAGAATATATTGGATACTGAAGTAGGCGTCCCATCTATACGGACCAGCTGTAGCCAATTTTTTGTTAGAAAGAACGTAGATAGTTGTGTGAGCCAGTCACAGAATGTACTAGTGACTAGAACTCTATTTTCTACCTTATTTTTTGTTGCTGGCCGAGTTAATGGGTCATAAGAGTTGCTATAACTCACACAAAGTAATTCCATTAGTTTGAATTGGTAAAAAAGATTGTGTATTCAACAGAAATCAGTAATTTAGATCAGCACAATCTGTTGGTGGCTCACATCAACTACGAAGATTTTGGTAAAAAAGATGGCTACAAATTTAACTTGGGGATGGAATATCTAGTTGTATTAATAGTCAAAGCTAAAGCTAATAAATTTGATAGGGTTTTACCTCAGCAATAGCTTTATTTTTCTCTTGGATCTGCACCTCATTCTTACTTTCTTTGACGTTTTGGTTTTCTTCTTTTTCAGCCTCTTTACAAGTGTTTAAATGATTTTTTCGTTCCACCACCTCTCTCTTTTCTCTTGATTTAAGAAATTCTTCAATGAGGTCAAGGCAGAGTAAATCTTCCTCTGACTCAAATGTACTATCTTCACTAGAAAATAATGAAAATAACTTAGGACCAAATGGACCGAGTAGAGATATTCTTACCAAGGAACAATAATTACAGTAGATTCCCTGTAATCTGGCATTATTTTATTGACAACTTAAGTTTTATCAATGTCTATTGGATACAGAATAGTGTTGTTCAATCCTACCTACACTTGTTGTTTTATTAATAGTCAAAGGTTTTATATAGTTTTATACATATGTAGAACTAGAAAGAACAGAGTAGGTACAACTTAATCAAATTTGACCAAATAGCAACTTAATATGGATAACACTGAAAACAAATTTTATTCACAAATTGATTAAATGTAAAAAAAACACTCTGCTATCAAACTTTATTTGTTGATATTACACTTATTACTGTATAGAACAATAGTTAAACTAAGCCCCACTTTGGTTGCCACTAAATATATTCTTATAGGTATTCTAAATCGTCGTTTAAATAGAATAATAAAAACAAAAATTACCAATTTATTATAATTTTTTATTATTATTATACACTAGCAGAGTACCCGTCCTTCGTACGGGGTTGGAATATAAGTATAAAATGCTTATTGCAGTTATACTCAAGCTTTGCGATTGCAATAGGTGGAGGACACAGTTTGATAAAATTTGCTTTTTTAAATTTACAGTATTCTATAGTATTACACATCTACCATAGCCATAATGTTCTACCATTTTACCTAAACAATAGAGAAAAATAAATTATCAATTCGCAAAATATCACAAATTATTCATGAAATGAAAAACATATACATAACTGTAAACAATCCTACTTTGACAGTTCTCATTGCGAATCACAGTTTTTTGTTGCTGCTTAGTTCAAATTAGCTGTTTTCATAAATGCAAAAAAAATATAGTGCTGCACCCTGTTGGTAAAACTTATAACTTTTTAATGCTTTTCCATATCATAGAACCAACTTTTTTAGTTGAAACAGCTGACTAAATTCTTTAATTCCCTTTAAATATGAATACTCATAAGGTTAACATGGGGAATTACAGAGCCACTGGGGCGGAGCCCGAAAGGATTTTTGAGATAAGAATATGCCTATATGTTAATCGGGAATGTAAGCTATCATCATGCCAAATTTCAGCCCAATCCGTCCAGTGGTTTATGCGTGATTGAACTTCAAACAAACAAACAAACAAACAAACACACAAACTTTCACATTTATAATATTAGTAAGATAAGATTACTACTCTGTGTTTAATACATAAATCAAAGAACATCCGAAAGGCTTCAGAATACTACTGATCAAATATTTACTATCAAGCAAATTTTATCAAAATATTGTGAGTTCAACCAAGCATATTTATTCACTTACTATTGTATAAATAGAAAAAAATGTGGAAATACCTAATGAAAATGAGAATCCCAAACAAATTATTTAATCTTGCACAAATATGTAGACTCAAGATGCTAAGTACAAATAATAGACAACGGATATTCAACTGAATTCAATGTAGTTAGAGCTCGTCCGTTATCTCTACCCCCAATTACAATCTAAGCTTCTAACTTAACTTGAACTTACTCTGGATATCCCTTCCACTTGCAAAGATAATAAGTTTTTCCATCTTTTACCCTCATGTCAAGAATTTTCTCAATCTCAAACTCTTCCTCCATGGTGTCAATATTTTTCTCTTCCTATAAGACAACAAACTAAATTACACAATTATCACATTTGAAAATAATATAGTTTAAGGTTTCCAGGCTAAAAGAAGTGGATTTAGTTTTTTTTTTTTTTATTCTTGGATGTTTTTTTTTTTCTAAGACTCTAAGTTATAGGCATGAGCCCGGTATTGTTTTTCACATAACACATAACTTCGGGCTAGACCTAGGGGTTGCGGCATTATAACTTAGATAAAATCAGGGCCTGCCTAAGAAAAAAACTGCAAGTGTGCAAGATTCACATATCATGCCCCCACCGATACCCTCAGGTCTTTTAGGGGGGGGGGGCGGGGTCTTTCCCTGGAAAACTTTGAAATTTAAGGTCTAAAAACACAGTTTTTGTGCACTTTTGAGCCTCTTTAAGAACAATAATATTTGTCTCTCAATTTGATTGACTTGATAGGTTCTATACTTTTTTGTACCGGTATGTACCTTAAACCACTTGTATGATGTTAAGCTTCGTAGTCACTTTTCAATGATTTTCACACTTATATTGCAAGTACTCTCAGAATAAATAGCAAATGCTGGAGCTGGAATCACCGTACGCCAGACCGATAAATTGCATTTCTCATGGGTGAAATAAAAATATCAGTGGTTACTGGCTAAAAATATAAAACACCTGTGGAAGGGGAAGTAAAAATATGTCACAACCACAACCCTTCCTGCAATCCACCACACAGACGTAGACGGGCCACTCTACTGACCCTGGACGTTAGTCAAGGGCATCAGGCTAGTGTATTTCAGAACTCTCTAAGGGGGGGGGGGGGGTTCTAGATCTTTGGTTTTAATTTTGAAATTGAACTGTAACAGTTTTGATACAATATTCCTATTTTAAATATTGCTGCCCAAAATTTAAATCAATTTCTATGAATTAGCTAATTAAAAAAAAAAAAAATTATCAAGAATGGTCAATTTTATGCCCCTCCAAAAGGCTCGAGTGTGCGGCTGCATACATCGCACACCCCTCAGGCCGGCCCTGGATAAAATCCATTGGTGATTTGGCGGGATTTGAACCTGGGACCTCAAGGACTGAAGCCCCGCGCTCTAACCACTAGACCAGCTTGTTCCCCCAATGGATGTAGTGATAGTCTATTTAACAATGTATAATCAACTAGCTGTACCCGCGGGCTTTGCCCCGTTTACTTCTTAATCTTCAAGATGAGCTCGTTCGCATGGCTTAATAACGTCCTGGTTGAAGTTCGTTCGCTACTCACCTTTTGGTTGCAAATTAGCTGTTGTCATAAATTAAAAAAAAATAATAGTGCTGCACCCTGTTGGTAATCCGGTTGTAACTTTTATGCTATTGAACATCATAGAACAGAGCCAACTTGTTTAATTGAAACAGCTGTTAAGATTCATTAATTCGTTTTAAATATGTAAAATCATAAGGTTAACATGGGAAATTCCAGAGCCACTGGGGCAGAGCCCAAAAGCCGGATCAGAATAAAAACTACTTAGTTTTAATGCCCAAAGAATCGATGTACCGAATTTCAGCCTCCTAGGTAAATGAGAAGTGGGAGAATTAGTGATGAGTGAGTGAGTGAGTATGTCAGTGAGACGAGGGCTTTGCCTTTTATAAGTATAGATATATTTTCTTGTAATTTCATTTTATATTATAAAACTCTGTTTCAAAACTACCCTACCGTACTTATCTGGTTCCAGTTTTTTGCTAGTTTGTTTAATAAAAAGGGTACAGTTCCACAGAGAACATACGATATATTATTTTTTTTATTTACATTTTAACGGTGTAACACCAAAGCAAACTTAGATGGCTAGCAAGAGAAATTGAAAATACCATAGGGCCTACAATGCTAATAGAAGAGGATGACTGATATTTATGTACATATTATAGATAGAATGTACAGGAATATTGAAATGAAAACATGCAGTAACAACTTTGCCGCAGTGACAGTACACGCATAACACGATGCCAAGATATGTGAGACGGTTTCACAAAATGATTTGAATGAACATGGGTGCAAGCTAATAACAAATGCAAAAATGACAATGTTAACAAAACAATAATGATGACAGGACTGTATAATCTAGTGCGACAGCAATGTACGTAATGAGGCAACAGACTAACTAACAAATATTGATGTGAATACCTGAATTTCAACAATAGCTCTACAGAACTTTACAACAAATATATTACTAGAAAAGGTTACAGCAACGGCTATATTTCTCAACAAGGGTTACTAAGTCATGAGGAAAGTCGTCTTCAGATGTCGGTTTTATATCGTGTAGGATGTAGTTTTCACACGATGTTGATTGTATATTTAACAAGAAGACTATTTTCACACTGCAGTTGTTGGTTTAAGTTAAGTTAGTTCAGTTTGGCCTACCTATTCTAGATTATACAACACTCTTGACATTAGCCTGTAATTTTTAAAGAGATACATTTATAAAGATGTAAATTTGTCCATATTTGTATCTTCTTTTATTACAAGTTCGTTTCATAAACTAAACTGAACCAAACTAAGCTTATCTAAACCCTGCAGCGCACTGTAAAAGAGTGACAGGCAATAAAAAATATTAAAAAGTTTGATCTTGAAAAGCCCCATTACAAAAATATTTAGGCCTACATTCAGTATTTATATTAACTATTATTTCATCTGATAATATATTGTAGGGTCTCTGCAGAACTGTAGGCCTACCCATGAATAAAACAATTTATCACCATTTCAGACATTTTAAACCAGGTTCATGTGGGAGCTGAAATTAGAAGGCTTATACTAAGCCTAGCTGTGATCCTAGCAATGCGCAGATAATACCAACACGCTTTCTTAATGGGCCTGTATCCGTAGAGCTTCGCTGTTAATGGTTCTTTAGGATCCTGACCATCGATGAGAGCAGTCCTTTTTCGCAGCTAGTAACGAGGTTCCCAACATCGATGTAGATAATTTAATTTAATATTGCAACTTTTTATGCGACCAGCATCACTGGACAAGTGTAAAATACCCCCGCCGCAGCAAACCTGCAGACTAAGCGAATTTCCATTTGCCTGATTGGATTTACACTAAAATGTCTACTTAAAAATATAACATTTATTTCCTATTTAAATAGAATTAGTATAACAAGTACTTAGGTTTGCTGCATCAGGGAGGGTAAAACTGTTTTTTTTTTTTTTTTTTGTAAAATGTTAATAGTTAGTAAGAAATAAAAACATTTTCCAAATTTGATCAAAATATGTTCATAAACAAGCAAACTACAACAGTTTACTTATTCTCCATAAGAATAACATGGGAATTTTAAATTAACAGTTTTTTTGGAATTTTCTCCGTAACCATTAGGCGCATAATAACGCTTCAATATACTAAATTATTTGTTTTTTTGAGCTCTACAAAATGGTTTGGAAAGAAATTGCTAAATTTTATGTTTTTTGGGTCAAAAATGGGAAAAACCTATTTTTACCCCATAAAACCCCCCATAAACCCCCGTTCCCATGGTCCGATCATGCTGGATCGCGAACTCGTTCAAATAAACGTAGGTTTACACGTTTGTACCAAATTTTATCAAAATCGGATCATTTTTGCTCGAGTTATCGTGCTAACGGATACATATATATACTCACAAATCAACCTTTCAGTGCGAGTCTCGTGGCTCAGACACTTACAGTCAATAAAAGCAGAGTGCTACTCGGCTGCACTTTACTTTAGGTCCTACACTCATTCGAATGGAAATATTGAAATTATTTGATTGTTTCATTTGATACTGTATATCGTATATTAAATAAAAAAGAATATAAAAAAGGGTACTCATGTTATTTTACATATTATTTATTAATATACTATATATATAAATATATAAATATATATATATATATGAATTTGAACGGATTCTGTTTTTGGCCTCTAGGGACCTCAAAACGAAAAAAAAAATCGTTCCCGCGTCCAGGTCTTACCATGAGTAGGCCTACTACGGTAATAGCTTATTCCCTATATGGGAAATTCGCTAAAAATGACCACAATAAGTTTAGAATTGTTTAAGACAAGTGTTGGAGTGAAAACGCTTAAGAATTGAACACAAATTGATAGATAAAGTAGCCTACTAGGCTATATTCCTTATATTTTACATTGTTAAAATATTACTTAAATAGCATTTAGGCCTACCAGTACTGAATGCTAAAATTAACAAGGCCTAGGCCTACCTATTCTTCTTCAGAATATTTAGGGTAATTCATTACAAAACCATTTTCAACTAAACACAAACTCACAAATCAACCTTTCAGTGCGAGTCTCGTGGCTCAGACACTTACAGTCAATAAAAGCAGAGTGCTACTCGGCTGCACTTTACTTTAGGTCCTACACTCATTCGAATGGAAATATTGAAATTATTTGATTGTTTCATTTGATACTGTATATCGTTTGGTTAGTTAGGTAAGGTTAACCTATCCTAACTAACCAAACAATATATCAAACAAAACAATCGATCGATATTTCCATTTGAATGAGTGTAGGACCTAAAGTAAAGTGCACTCTACTAGCATCGTTGCTGCGATTGTCCATTTACAGCTCTGTCATGAACGCTTTAGTTGTAAGTTGTTCACTTGTTCTATTCCAAGTCAACCAACAATCCAGGAACATGATACATAATATTTTAACACCACAATAAGTAGGCCTAAGCCTACATTAGGATAAAATACATTAGGCCTAATAAAAAAAACAATAGGCCTAAGTTATTCCTTGATTTAAAGTTTATGTCTAAGTTATAACTTAAGTTATGTTAAAATATAATATCTTGCACTTAGCCTATTTAGGTATAAGTTACTAGTTGTTTACCAAGGCTAAGACGTGCCTTAATATCTAAGCTAGGCCTATTAAACATTTAAGCAAGTTAACCATTGAGGGAAATAAATTAATTTACAGTAAGTTTAAATGTAAGTTAGACTCCCTCTTATCTGGACAACTTTTACCTGGACTATACTCGGCAGATACCGTAGGCTATGTCTCTTTAACACGTTGACTGCTAACGCTGACTCTAGTCGGCGTCGCTAGGCCTAGCACTTCAATGTGGCGCGCGCCGACCACCAGACCAACAAAAATATATAGAGTCAGTGTGAGCTTAGCCTCAGGCGGAGACGTTATAATCGTTGCCAGCCTGCCAGCTTAGAGTGCGAGCTTTACTTTGGTGTAGGTTGGTTCTAAAATTTCCCGTAAAATCCTGTCTGGCAATGCTTTTGTCCCGGTTTCGGCGATTTTTTCTCTTCAACCCACATTACAAAGACACTGGATACGGATCCGTGCAGTGCTGCTACCTTTGGGAGTTTCAGTGAAATACATCCACTCTCGGGGTAACGCAGCGCAGTCACCACTGCTCTTTTGTGATTCGTCAGACTGAAATATTTGAATGCCAATTGCGTTCGCTGATTCGGTTGTGTGCCGGGGCTTCGCCCGCCACTGGGGAGCGCCTGTAAGTTGTTTTCAGCAGTCATCGTGTTAACCGGACTATTTTAATCGGTTTAACGAGATCAACAAGAAGTGGGCGGTACTGGGGAAAGATTTGAGACCAGTGATCTTGTGTCATGGAAATGCAATTTGTTTCTTCTATCTACATTACAATCATGTTTAAATTACCTCGTTGTGGTAGTGGTACACTTCAAGTAGGCCTTGTCCAGGCCTGGTCAGAGAAGCTACTAGGCCTATTGTACTCAGGAACACAAACACATGCCGAACTAAACAAATATCAAGTAAGTTAAATACCGTACTACAATTTTACTTATTATTCCTGAGAGATACAGCTATTTAGAAGTAGACATGAACTAAAGTGCAACAAAATCTTTGATAATTGACGAAGCTGTTCAGTTTTTGTTGTGTTAAAGGAAACGAACGAACGAAACAAACAAGGAGTTAGGAGAAGGAAGAGAAGAAGCAACAACTGTCGACTTCGAGTAGGGTGTTTTCGTTATCCGGTTTGCCTTAAATGCTAGCTTTGTTTTTTTGAACATGCAGCGGCGGAGTACACTTCTCCTGCCTATCTATTTATTTTCTTTGGTTGCTTTCTAACAAAAAATATATAAGGATTTTGTTCCATTTCATTGTTGGTTGGATATTGAATTGTTTTGATTGTGTTTGTGTTTTATTTGTCTTGTCTGTAAGTTCATACAATTAATCTTTGATAGGCTAGTAATCTCCAGACTGGGACGGTGGCGTCGTTCTGTAACCCAACTATACTAGGAGGTCACGAATTATGGATATTTATAGGCACGCACTGTGGATGCGATGCTTTCTGGTGTGAATTAACGTCCGCACTAGTAAATACTATGACTATCCACATTACTTACTTACTTACAAGAGTGGCCATGGTACCTTAAGAGGTACTTGGCCTCGCCCACGCACTGCCTCCGGTGTCTCTTTCTAGAGCTTCATTTTCACTTCTTCCCAATCTTCTAATATCTAATGATCCGCAGAACCATCTTGATAATTAGACCAACTCGTTGATTACAAGGAAAAAATGTGTGGTTCGGATTTCACTATAAACTGTAGGTCCCTTATGCACGGCACGGCCACCTAAACTTCCAGGCCACGGCATTCGAAATGGCAACATCGCGAGTAGTGTTGTAATAGCTTTTTTGTTTCGACGCAGATAATGGTATTTGTGTTTTTTTTCAATACGAACGCTTGGTTTCTGGGCTATGAAAATATTGACTCCACTTTAAATTTTCAAAAATAGATTTTCAATTTAAATATTGTTATGGTTTTCAATTCTATATGTTTTATTTTCAATCTTTTAATACATTTATATCAATAAATTTAAATTAATAATGCGTGAATCAATGAGCTGGTGTCACCTGTCAGTCCGTATCTTATGGGACGTCTGGCGCTAGACAACACTACTTGCAACGTTGCCGATTCTACCAGGCTGCGGCCTGGAGTTAAAGTTGGCCGTGCTTAGTTGCCACTATTCGGTGGGGCACACGGAAGATTCCTCAGGTGCCGTTTGACGTCACTAACTGCTGACGTCACTAACTGCTGCGTCTGAAGAAACAGACAATTTTATAATTTTTCTATTATTAAATTAAACTGTCATAACCTAACCAAACTAACCAAACGTGCTGATAGTGGAAAAATCTAATGAAGGTTTACTAATCTAAAAAATAGTTTTGTTCATAAAATAAAATTATAAATGCCTAAAATTCAATTTTATAATTTTTTAAATTATAAAATTAAACTGTCATAACCTAACCAAACTTGCTGATATGAAAAAAAATGTTGACAAAAAGTTAGTGCTACCGGCGGGATTCGAACCCGGTACATTAGGACTATTAGCCCGCCACGCTATCCACAACACCACCGAGGCCGATGGCTCTACATCGTATCGTTGCGGTATTGGTGTTCCCTCAAAGTGACGTCAGCAGTTAGTGACGTCAAACGGCACCTGAGAAATCTTCCGTGTGCCGTTTCGCTGGACGGTTGGGCTAATTAACAGACGTGTCCATGGAACAGAGGGACTTATAGTACATAAACAAGACTACAAGATCGTGCCACTCATCCTACACTCATGTACGGGATACGCACATCGTAGTGTCGTCAACATAATTAATTAATTAATTGATACGAGGGGCAGACCAGAGTATGTTTGATCTATGCTGGCAGTGCACTTCCAGAGTTCCTTGAATCAATTATGCTGCTTGATTTGTAATAAACGAGTCAAGGGGGAACAATTAAGTTGTTACTGTAATAAACTTTTCAGTCCGGAAGACTATAATCAGTTTTTTGTCAACGCAGTTCAAAGAAATAACTGCATATCTATTAAACTGGTTAAAAACCGGAATGGGAGGAGTAACCGCCAGAGTTCAGGTGCAGGCTCTGGCCTCCTTGGAGTAATGGAACCTTACCACTTGAGGACGTAAAGTTAAAAGTATAGTACCACCAGACTCTGTTAACATTTCCAGGACCATTCCTATCTTTAAAAACCTTACCTCAAGTTATCGGCCAATTTTCAATAATCCCGACTGCGGGGATGATAATATATAGAGTAGATTATCCAGAGATAGATTGTTGACCATTTTGAAGTCAATAATTATTTTATATTTTACAGCCTCCCAACACGGGTTTAGGAAGTCGATATCAACAGCAATAGCTCTGCTCTCCCTGCGATCAATGAGATACTGGACCACTTTGACAATAGGCAGTCAATAGCTCTGGCTCTTTGCGACTTATCGAAAGTCTTTGAAATTGCCTCTCATGGCATACTGCTGATGGCGAAGTTGGTCTGTATGAGTGCCCCTTCAGACCCTCAAATCCTACGTGGAAGAAGCCACATATGGTGGCAGTGCAGTGAGTGCAGGGGTCCTCCCTAGTGGATGTTAAGATCGGCGAGTTCCGTATGGCTCAATCGTTGGCTTATACTGTATCTTCTTTGATACCAATGAACAGCCTAGGATGGGAGAGAAATACACTTTTATTCACATAAGATTCAATGGGCAGGGAACAAGTTCTGCTGAGGCGGTCGCCTCTCGCGAACATCTCTTCCAATAAGCCAAGGACTGGTTCGTCATAATTAGCTTATTGTCAACCATTCTTTCAGTCTACCATCAGTATATTTTCAACTGTCTTGTCTTTTCAAAGTTAACCAGAACAATTTAGAAATCCAAGGCCAACTCCACTAAGTATCACGTTAGAGGCGCACTGAAGCTGAATACCCAGCGATATAGATTGACCTTGACAAGGGATAGCTTCCCCACAGTTCCAAATGTTACATAATACATTCACACCACATCACATGAGGGAGCTTGGGACAAAATTAAGATCAAGGATCTCCTCCTTCAAAACCTGTATTACTAGTTGACTAATATTTCGCCATCTAATCGAAACTAAAAGTTTTGTTTTTTCAAGAAGTTTTAAATATTTGAAGCTGTCCATCCGGTCGTAGCTGGTCAAAGACAAAGAGGAGGTAATATATACAAATAAAAGAGTCAAGTTTGGGGTCTTTTGCAGCCCTGGTCCTGAGGGGTTGTACTATTTTCCCTGTGAAGAGGCATTCTCAGTGCCTAGGCCAAGACTTAGTCTATCATAGATTCCTTGAATGTTAGAACTCTATGCATCTGAGGGTGTCTGCTATTTTTTAAAAGTGAAATTCCAGATTTTTCCCTGGGTTTTAAAACTTTTCCAGAGACTCCATGAATGTTTAATCGTAAACTATAATCAATTCAAGACCAGTCATGGAACAGAAACTTCATCAATCTTCCGTGATCGTGACAAAATCCTGGATATCTCTAATGGTTTATAGATATTATCGTTGCCTCCCACAGCCACGGAAACGTCATTATAGTTTTCTGCAAATGTGTGAATGTTTTGATCATACAAACTTCGTACACACGCTTTACAATCACGATTGTAAAAGCTAAACTCAAGCTCGATTTTCAGACTTGGTGCTAGGCCTCTCGAGCTTATAGGTCAAGCTAAAAAATTGAGCCGCTCGCACACATAAACTCTGTAGTTATTAATGGCTGAAATAAAAATCCTGGAAAGGCTCCAATAGTTCTGAATTTTCCCTGTTTTTTCCCCACTCCCTTCAATTTTAAGGGTTTCCCTGGCCCCTTCAAATGTTTTTTTTTCAGGGTTTCCCGATTAGTCCCTGCCAACAGTGTCTTGTGGGATGTCACTATCGAGAGTTTTACAATCTGGGACCCCACGTTTTGAAACTGTGGAAATAAAAAAAAACAAATGATTCAAACATTGTTGTTGTATATATGAACTAAGTCCCTTACATCAGGCAAAGAGTTTCTAACAAAGGAAAAAAATGTTTCCAGTTTTCATTTGTTTTATTTTGTGTTACTTTGCAAGGTAAATTACAGTAAAAACACCCACAATGTATTTTGACACATGTTTTTATACATATTTACATCAAGCATTAAAAAAAACTAAAAAATAAATAATTAAACGACAGTATCCTAAAAACCACAAAATATACACAAAGGTATTGTCAGGTACTTTCTTAGATACAAATGTGTTTCTTTTAGTGAATTTCCCTCAGGGAATACATTAAATTTTTATCAAACAATACTCCAGATGAATTTGAGCTAAATTTTATATTGAGTTCCACAGTGATATTATAACCTAAGCTGGTAGCGTGATTTTAATTTCAATTGGAGTTCCGGGGTCCGGCAAATAGGGCGAATGAAGACTTAATATTGGCTGATCCAACAGTGACATCATGACTTTGGGTACAGTTTCTTAACTGGGCTACCCTAATGCTAATGTAAGTAAACCTACATTCGATTTTTTCATCATCAGCAAGTTTGGTAAGTTAGGTTAGGCTATAACAGTTTAATTTTATAATTGATATAGTTAAACTTATCGAATATCTGCATCTGCCACTGTTGAATCAGCCAATCAAATGACTCCATTTCCTTGTTGCGGGAACTCCAATTGAAATAAAAACTATGCAAACTGGTAAGATATTACACGTGTCCTCAAATGATCACAGCACAGTTTCATACAACATGAAATTCCCTGTTAGTCCAATCATAGACAAAAAGAATTAAATATAGACTGTCAGCCGTGCTGCGGTTACCATAAGTTCGGGCGCACACCGCTGTAGTTTACGTAGCGCGTACGCTGTAACTACCGAGGCAATCCCAGCGGTGTGCGCCAGTACCTATGGTAACCGCAGTCTAGCTGACGGTCTATATTTAATTTTTTTTGTCTATGGTCCAATTAACTGGTCTTGGTAAACCAAGTACTCTGCATGACATTATCTGAGGTCTAAGTTTCAATTATAAAGCCATTTTATACATACAACCATAGGTAGCGAAAATTAACGTGTCCAGTAAACGCCAATTGACAAACATATATTTTTTCAAATATGTTAAATAACTTCTTGATCAGCATAGTATGTGTTATTAAATTACCTGCAAATATTCGGGTAGTATATTTGAAAATACAAAAATAAGCATAATAACAATTGTAAAGTTATCAGACTTTTTTATATTTTCAAATATCAACCGAGGTGTTTGTTCCAAAATCCTCTTATACTAAATTTATATTAGTAAATTTAAAACAAATACTAAAATGCACTGCACAATAATTTAAGTTTACAGTAATTTTGGTTGTAAACCAATTATATATCTTCGAAACCATAACTGCCATGTTTTATTCTTATATACATTTTATGTACATGGCTGCACCCGAGTAAAGAAAAATTAAAAGACTTTCTAAGCTCTGTAGGTTTTACTTAATGCATACAAAAGTCAGTGTAATCGATTTATCACAATTAAATTAGGAAAGGTAATACGGTACATAAACAAAATAAATATCCCCCGGCGAGGACTATAAGCGAATTTCCATTTGCCTGATCGGATTTTTATTTAAATGTTCTTAGGTTTGCTGCTACAAGGAATGTAATGAAGTTTTTTTTGTTTTGATATAAATAGCTGGGTATGAAATAAATAAACTTACCAAATTTGATCAAAATGTAAAAAAAAAAACAAGTTACCAGTACAGCAATAGCTTATTCCCTATATGGGAAATTCCTAAGAGCAGATACAAAGAGGTTTGGTACAATCGTATACTACACTTTTTAAAATGTACCACATTGGTTGTCAAAACATTTAGGGCAATTATTTAAAGTGTAAAAAAGTGAAATAATAAAAATTAATATGAAAATGTTCAACAATAAATTAAACAATACTTTGTGAAATTAACTTTGTAAAATCACCTTTCATGCACGTCTCAACGTTTTCATCCTTAAGCTAATTTTACGATTTACCTGGGAGACATTCCTGAGGTAGGCTATCAATGTTACAAAACGAATCGCAAACGATGGATACTCAACCGCACAGATATTCCTTAAGGAAATATAAGATCAGCTGCACTTTGGTATATCTACACACGTTGACGTCACCGTACTCTTTAAAGCTAGATCATACATCACTAACACTAACGCAGGCACAACAAGTGTTCTGCCGCAGCTACTATCACGATGGCTCCTCTACTTCAGGTTGTAAGGTGTACGTCCCTTGATAGTATTGAATCACCAATTCAGGACATCGTAAATGTGCCTCCCTTGCCGTTACAAAGTCTGTGTCTTTACTGCCTTTCCTGAAACAAACATGATTTGGTGATGAGATTAAAATTTATTTATATATTATTATTTTAAACTTATCCATAGTCATTAGTTGAGGACATTCAAATTGTGCATCCAAGGCTAGGTCCGGTTTTAGACCACGATAAATAAAACTTCTGTAATAACGTAAATTGAAAACAACTGTGCACCTTGAAATTAATATATTTTCTTTAAGTTTTAGGGTGAAAAAAAGTTTTTAAATTATGTCTATAATACAATAGCAGCCCTAATTTCTGTTTTGTGAAAGAACAAAAAATTATGCTAATATATTTTGTTAATATTAATATTGATGATCTTAATTTAACATATGATATCATTTTTGTTATACTTCGTTCACAAAATTTTGTTAAGGGGAAGCGATTCCATCCCCTCCACTCGCCCTGACTATGAAACAACAGCCGACAGCTGATCTATACATTAAGTTTACAAAAGTGGCGGGAGAATGCAAAAAACACTCCCCTTAAACCACCTAAATTTTGTGAACCGACTATAGTAAGGTAATATTGACATGTTTGTGTTTGGACAATCACTTTTACGACAAATAAACATTTAATTTAATTTTAATAAACTATATTCTAGTTCTATCATCACTCTTCTCATTGTATCAAGTATGTCGCTAAGTGTAAGAAAGGACCATGTGGCCCTAACTTTGCCTGAAAAAATTATGTTTCATTTCATTTCAAATCTTCATAAGGCTGGTATTACACTATCATAGATCTACGAAATATATCTATTATCAAATACATATGATTACCAGAAAATTAAAAACTAAAGCCCATGGAAAATATTTCAATACTGCATCTAGTTTACATTTAAATCAAACCACATTTTCAACCGAGCGAGTAGAAAGTAACATGTACCATTTCATATGCAACATCAGTTCTCCCGTAGATTTTGTTGCTCCAATCACTCTTTCTGGTTCTAAATTCCTTTCGAAGCCTTGAGGTCGGTTGTCGTCCTGTAAATAATTTGTTTTCTATCATAACTGACAAGAATTATACTATTTCATAATAATAAGGTGGCAGTGATTTTATTAATTTCAATTTGACTACCCAAACATAGACATGCGGTTACAGCTTACTTTTTAAATGGGAAACTTTCTAAAATGTATGGGAACAGATAAGGGGAAATTTAGTTTTAAACATGTTATGAACTTGTATTAACAACTACAAGCACTTAGGTTAAAGATACTAAATTGCTGGCGTTTGAAATAAATCTAATGAAGAGAACTTTTATTTACTTGATAACATTGGGTGCAGGTTGAATCAAATTTTTTGAGTGGAAAATCTATAAAATAGGCAATTCCTAATGGAAACTCTAAACTTGTTAATCAGAGATACGTCTAGAATGATGTTACTTTGTCAATTTTCAAATTCCAACCGAGCATCAATGTTTGAAATTTGTGACCAAAGAGAAGCAAGGTACAGTGGAAACATTTGGTACACTTACGGTGTCTAGCACCATACTCCGTCACAAAATTTTTGTGGTTCCAGGGGAAGTTCCCCCCACTTTTTGCGTATTATGTAGCAGCTGTTTGGTGTTTTGGAAAACCTCAACTGGGCCCTGTTTCATAAAACTACTAGTCTAGTATTTACTAGTCCATGGACTAGTAATACTAGTGTATTTTACAAGTCTACGTTTCAAAAACCTACTAGTGTAAAATACTAGTTACTAGTGTAGGGACTAGTATTACTAGTGTAGGGACTAGTATTACTAGTGGTTTTTACTAGTGTAGACAGCAATGAGTTTCATAAAGTTTTACTCTTGTAAATTACACTGGTAAATACTTGCCATTTTCTAACAACCTCTCTACACCCGTATTATTTGAAGTAGACTAGTATTTTTGGAAAGAGGGTTATTTCATTACTCATATCTTTTAAAAATATCTTTTAAAAATCTTTTATGAAGTTCTTTTTGCAAGTGCAAATTGGCTCACGTTTGCAATCAAAGATAAAAATAGATCTGTGAGTGCTAAAAATTATTTGATATAAATTACAATCAATAAATGTGGCGTAGTACAAAATGAGAGAAATATAAATTTATAATGTATGTACAATCGCACTATTAGAATTAATTATAATTAATTATAAGTTATTTTTTCGTTGAAAATTTTAGTCCAATTTTACTTGAGTTCATGAGTTTGAGTTTTGAGTTTCATAGTTATGTCAACGCTATCACAGAGAAAAGATTTTTAAGCTTTGAGAGAAACCAAATTAAAACCGCATACCGTATTGCATACAAAGATGTAACAAATGTATCCAACATTGCAACATTAATCAGATTATTTTACACCCAAGGCTCTCGGTTTTATTTAAAGACATTTTAATAGGAAATAATAGTAAGACAATTTTAAAGAGGAGTTGCATTGTATTTTTTGAGGTGCTTATTATTTGCTTCCCTAAATAGCTAAAACCCTGTGATGTACTAACAATTTTGTAGGCCTATATTTGATTTTTGGTCGTTGAACTGAACTGCTTATCATAAAAACATTAGGCCTACTTTTAATCCAATTTGGTATTCTGAATTTGTTATTCAAAGTAATAAAAAAATTAGACGTTGATTATGTTATTTTAATGTAAAAACATGTACAAGTTTAATTAATGGAATAAAAAGTATAGGGAGTGGCACGGATTTGAACCAGGGACCCGCCATGTGCGCGATGACTAGCGAGAACTCTACCTCAGAGCTACGCCCTGCCGTATCGACCAGCGAGCACGGAATATCAATTTCTATTCTGTGCTCTCTGGTATCGACTAACCCATGTTTTACTATACTTGAAAACGTACTTCTCCATTGCTTGTTACGGCGTTGCAATTATTTGTTACATCATTAAACGTTTAGGCTTATTATTCATGGTTTGTAGACTCAAAATTAGAATATCACCAAATGGTTTCTAACCTAAATATCCTTATGCATTCGAATATTTGAAAACATAGGTAAGGTTACTTGAAACCGTTCCAATAAACAAAATGTCCTTAGACGATTTAATTACATTCAAAATTTGAGCCTTCTTTTCTTTACTCATAGCAAGCTTAATTTTATATGTGAGAATAAAACAAAAACCATACAAATCACAGCGAATGCGGCAGCAACAGATCAACTTCCACCCAACTGTTGAGCGCCGCAACTAGGCCTACAACCGGCTACTACAATCACCGTGTTGATTGCAGCGACGCGACGACGCGGCGCGGCTCATTAATGAACATAAATAATAGCGGTTTGATAAATAATGTGTGATTGTTTTACCTATGTGTCTATATAGCTATTAATTAAAAGAAAACACTGCGTTTCTACAACTATTTACTTTTTGTATCAAATGAAAGCAAAATTAAAACCCTTTACAAAGGATTTGAAAACCCGTGATTGAGGTTAGAAATTTGTTTTGAAAGTTTACCTTGTAAAGTTGGTCACGTGACTAGTAGTTTTGGTCATGTGACTAGTAAAATACACTAGTATTTACTAGCGGTATAAAAACGTTTATGAAACACAAATTAGTAGGACAGGTAAATACGGGACTAGTATTTACTAGACTAGTATTTTTATGAAACAGGGCCCTGTTGAGCTATTATTTTAATGGTAGGACGATTAAGTGAAGGGGATGGATTTCTTCCGCTAAAACAGCCTACATTTTGTGAACAGAGTATAGTTGCTGGAGTCCAGGGCAAAGTTCAATACCACCCCACTCGCCCTCATGTACTACAATACTCTCGGTGGAGGATGAACCTGAGTCCTGTGCGACAGGAATTCCCGCACAGGTCTCACCACGCAGGCTCTTCCTTGCTAGTTACAAGTATATTTACGGCACAACATACTACTTAAGTCGTCCCAGAAGCAAGTTTCCTCTGTATCTTACTTCTCTTTGATGTGACTTAGTTAACAATTCTCCACCAACTTAAGTTAGAATGTATTATCCCAACATATACATACCTTAATAACTTCACCACCTAGAATGTTAATTTCGTATTCACTCATGTGGTCTAACAAATTGAATGGGTTTAGGTTCTTATTTTTTGACAACCTAGTCAAAATTTCTTTCTTCCTACTTTCTTGGACTAACTGTCTACTTTTTTCAGGTTCACTCAATATTTTACTGGTTGAGGGTTTGGAAGTTTTTAGCAAAGATAATGCACTATTTGCATTATTGTTTTTAAGAAGGGAGTTGTTCTTCATCGCTGGTCGTTTCAATAAACTAGGGCCGGGGGGAGCAGGTATCAGAAAATTGTTTGTGGCAGTAGGATTTATTTTCTTTGATTGTGGACACAAAGATATTTTATTTGGACTTAAATGATTCAAATTATTACGAGGCTTGTCAGAAATGGTTTTGACACCCATTACACCCTGATCATTCTTTTTAAATGCCATTCTAATTTTCTTATTACTTCCTTCATCAATGATTTCGATTGGCCTTTTTTCAGGCATAATATTTGACTTTTTCAATAATGATTGAGTAAAATTATTCGTTTTCCCGCCAACTTGGATTTGATTGCATACGAGGTCCAGTCTTTCATCAGTGGAGTCTCCTACATCAATGTCGATATCACAATTTTCCTCGTTGGTATTTTTATCTAACAAAAGTTCATCTATATCTATAAGGAGTGGGTCATCATCGTTGATTTCTATTTCTTTGGGAGGAAGAGAAGTTTGAGTTATACTGCGATTTGAAGAAGAGGGTTGGCTATTTTTGGGGGGGCTGTATTTTGGATGTTCAACTTTAACTCCAATATCTTCAAATATAACCGATCCACCTTCTTCCAAAGGCAAGGGAGGAAAGTCAGGTCTTGAAGAGTATAGTTTCTCTCTAAAGGGCATGGTAATTTCCGCATATTTTGATTTTGGAATTCTAAGAGGATTTTTCTTAATTGCTCTTTTCTCTTTATTAGGATTTTCTTTAACAATTCTTCTCTCTTTACCAATGGATGAAACTGAGAGAATTTTGCAAATTGGTGTTGAACTCGAATTATTTTTGGACACATTTGACTTCTTTTCTTTACTGGAATAAGGTTGTTCTTTAGCAATATTTGAATCGGAATTGGTTTTTTCATATTCTTCAAAGTTGTACGGATCAGATGTGTTTTCGGTTGCAGCATTGCTCTGTTTTTCTAACTGTGCGGCACTTTCAATAAGTGATTTTTCGATTGTAAGTATTTCATTTGCTGCAATCCTCGAGTCCAAAACAGTAGATTTGTGAGGTATTGGTGCGGTGCTTTTCCTTGCCGTGGACTTGATGGCACCAGGGAGGTCACTCATAGTAAGTTCACCTGATGAAAGGTCATCTTCAATGGACTCAAGTAGACTCACATAATCCTCATCACTCGGAATATTTCTATCTGAAGACACGGCTTCTGACAAGGCGAGAATCTGAGCCTTGATTGAATCATCCAGCTCTAATCCACCAGGGTCAAATCCTGATCCCTGAAAAAGTATTCAGAATATAAAGAATACATTAAATAAGTATTTATGAAAGTTCATACTTGTATTCTCCATTTCATACGTGCAATACTCTATAAACTGTGTATTTCAAGTGTGAGTTTCTAGTCTGTTAAACGTAAGAACCTGCGAAACTCCTATCTTTTTACTTCTTCCTCAAACTATTTTACTACTACGCCAATTTGAACCATTACAAAGACAAAATATAAATAACCAAGTAAAGATACCAATCTAAAAAGCATTAACTCACAGAAAAAAGTAAAATTTACTTTATCGCTTTTATCAGAGTCGCAGAGAACAGTTGGCGCAACCCGCTAAACAATAAGCATGTTATGTTCCCAGTAACGCAGCTAACCTCTCTCACAAACACCCACACACCATCATCATTGTATCTCTATGAACAAATCTTGGACATATCCCGATCACAGCAAAATTATAGCATAATTGCACAAATTAATTGCAAAAACCTTAGCCATCCTTAGTTAGAAATATAGTAGGGCCTAAAAGAACAGGTTTACAGTAGACTCCCTCTTATGCGGACACCTTTTAACCCTCCGAGCGTCACTCGTCAAAAAATCGACGCGCAACACACTTTGTGTAGTGTCACGCGTCGATTTTTTGACGCACGAACATCGTTTACGGCGAAGGCTCTACGACTGACTGAATCGGATTGAACTGGATCGAGTTAGGTATCGTTCTTTTCGTTAGATTCTACGCTTTCTCCAGAGGTCTGTCTCTAAGCGCTTTATGTTCTCCGAGCCGATCGTAATTGTAGCAGACAGCTGACGTGCGTATTTGTAAACAGCTAGGTTACCCTCGGACCGATGACTGATGTGTTTTATTACGTTTATCATTGTTTTAGTGTTAAAAATCAAAAGTAGTGATATACGTGGTGCATTATAAGAAGATTTAAGTGATTTTGAAGGGCTGGTTGATGATCCTGAAGAAGTAGGTAGTGATATTGATGTAAATTATCAGCCAGATTCCTAGCTATGGTTAGGCTATGCATTCTTAGCTAAACGCTATGTACTGAAATCTGTTTTTTGCCCATAACTTATTTATTTGTAAATCTACTTCCTTATATTATTATATATTTGTAATCCTCATAAAATTTAGAACAAAGTGGCTATTTTCAAATATTTATAGGCCTATAATTTATACAATTTCATTGAGCGCGAACTTATTATTTTTTTTGAAAATTTTCCAAAATATTTTTTTTTTTACCTAAATAATTTTTTTGAAACAAATGTTCCTTATGTTTTATGTATAATATTGAAGCCCATGATTTTCCAAACAAAATGGTATATAGAACAGTAGAATTAACATTGTTTTAAGCTTCTCAGATCCGTTTTAATAAAACCTTGCAAATGCGCCAAAAATAGGCGGACATTAAGGCCTAAACTATGGACACTCGGAGGGTTAACCGGATTGCACTCGACGGAAATGTACTGGTACTGTAACGACTGTTCTCGTGGGAAAGATTTGAGACCAGTGGTCTCATGTCTAAACAATGCTCTCCTAAATTTAAGTCGAATATCACCGTAAATGGTCCTTTTAATGAGTTTTTGGGGACGTCGGCTTAACCGGAAAACCCGTTATCCGGACTGGCCTCGGTCCCGAGGAATCCGGATAAGAGGGAGTCTACTGTAAGTGTAAATAATGTATACTCTTGGTCTGGGGCCCACCTAAAAGAAATTTTCAAAAACCGATCAGTAATTCCTAGGCTTTAACATTGATTAATTTACCTCTACTATTTTCTTTTTAGGTTGGTATTCAAGCGTGTTGTCTCTTTCCTTTAGGTATTTCAATAGCGAACAGTTGGACTTGTTACTATTTGAAGGACCTTTCTTCACTGTTGATTGAAAGGAGATTTTCCTCTTCCAAAATTCCTGTATCAATTGTTTCCCAACTGTCTCCTCGGTCTCCCACGAGTTATTGTCACTGCAAGACAAACGATCCAACTTAGATACCACATTTCTATCAAATAAACATAAATATCAAACACACACAAATATACACATACATATCAAATATTTTTCCGTTGAGCGTTTAAATAACAGTGACAGAAAGGGATACATTTGATGGTAAGATATTTATAGAAAATTTGTAGAATATTTCAACATAACAATAAACCCCCTTCTGAACAAACTTCCGTCAAACAAATTCCAGATTGTTAGAAACCAAAATATAAAAATGCATAAAAATTGGAAAACTATCCAGGCTATGTCTATATTGTCTACCTTGGCGTGGACAGTAGGTAATGGGGCAGATGACGGATCTCATACTGTAGTAGAGCAAAAGTTCAGAAAACTAAGTACAGTAGAGTCCCGCAAACTCGGCGTAATGTGGACTTGAAGGGTGCAGAGTTTGTGAAATGCCGGGTTATCGGGAACTAGGGTTAAAAATAAGAACAATACAATTTTTAAGCCTTTTAGCTGCCTTCTTTATTTATAGTTATATTACAAGTCAGGATTAAGTCATCAGATATAGTACAACAAATCCTTGGTACGAGTTGCGAATGATTTGACTTGAGCTGGCTTAGGTCCATATTTAACTCGGACTCAAAAAATCACTAATTTTCTGAGCCAGGTGATAGCCGAGTTATCCAGACTGCCGGGTTATCGAGTGCCGAGTTTGCGGGACTCTACTGTACTTTTAATTATTTTAAGAAATAAACTATGTGTTTACGGCTTGTAGATTTTTAAAGTATAGTTGTTAAAAATCACAAAAAAACCTACTGTTGTAGATCTCTTTTGAAAAAATAGCCTTTAACTCCAATCGATAATTAACTGAAAAACCAATTATGCAGCTTAATGTTGTTTAAGAAAACTGTAGAATTTTCACTCAGGATTTAAGCTTACGAGGAAAGCTCATTTCATAGCTTCATTTTCATAGCTTATTACAAGATTCACCTTGACGAGTTTGTAGGCTCTGGAGAGTATTTTGTCAATTTGCACACAAAACTCTAGAATTTGTATTGTCCTATTGAGAGTCTTGATGCAGTACAGTACAAAGTATGATAATAGTAGACCTATATAAAGCCAGCTTAATCCATAATATTTATAGGCTCAAGTAAAATTAAAATGAATCAATCAAAACTAAATGAGATATCACTGAAATTAAATAAAATTACTTCATTTCAAGGCATTTTTTGAGAAATGGGGTTGTTTGATGCAATACATAAAATAGTTTTTAAAATACTGATTTCTGCAAACTTGCGAATACATTTTTGTAAAACTTACTCAGAGTAGCCTCTCCACTTGAGTAGGTACTCGGTGGTCCCATTAGCATCACGAGAATCCAGTATCTTTTCTACAGTGAACGCATTTGCTCTAGTTGTCGCCTGTTTTCCTATTAAGCCACCTGTGTTATTAACATTTCAATAAAAAAATAAATAATAAACAACAACTTAGGCACAATTAGGCCTATTGTTGTATAAATTGTATGACAAAGACGTTAATTTTACTTCCACAATAAGTTTTTACGCTTTTCTAAAAAAGTTAAACAGCAAAACAATATGCCATTGCAGTTTTTTTTAGATGATCAATGGACGAATTCACACTTGCCGTCAACATTTTAATCACATGCTATTTTATTTAGGATTCTGGCCATTGATGAAATATTGTAGTAACCAACCACATTAACTAAGATATACATACCATTGAATTCATGATAAGTTATTTAAACAAAATATTGATCTTCGTTGAAGATTATTGGAAACACACTAAACGAATGAATCTGACTTGCTATGTGTGAACAATCTACAATATTAATGAATATTTGTTAGTTTACCTCTTCGACATAAACATTACATATTAAACTATTGTATTAATATTATTGCGCTTTGACGACATTAGGCGTGATAATTTTTAAGATAATTCCAATTTGAACATGCAAACCATTGTTGCGGCACCACAAATTGTTTATGAAGCCCCAAAATAAACAAGTGCAACCCAAGCAACAACTAAATATTGAAGCTTAATTGAACAGACATTACCTTATTTCACGAGATCTCTCGTCAGAAATAGCCAAAAGAAACTTAACTGTTAGCAGCACAAACATGGGTCTCGTAATAAACTCTAGCAATCAAGCTGCATAAGACGAGTCTAAAATAACACAATTAAATATTTTTTAAAGTCTGCGTTCAACTATTCGGCTGGTAAAAAAGTGTGTTTTAACATTACACGTTTGTAATTAAAATCAAAGTTATACTTAATTTGGTCTGGTATAATTCAATAATTTTACTTAAAAATGTGAAAATTAAATAAACTTAGACCTAACACAAACAATTACATAACAAACAACTAGAGCTTAATAAATGATGATTTACTTTCAAACGCATACCACAAAATAAAATACCTAATTGAAACATGTTTATTATGTTATCATAATAACATTACTATTATTTGTTCATCGACACCAACCTTTTTTGCATCGAGCATAATGTGATAAATGAGTATAGTAGCAGTCTGACATTTTAGAAAAGACATTAATTAGCTTGTTGGATTAACCAAGTACGTATTGTGCAAAAGAAATACAAAATCTTCTTAGTAGACAATTATGCTATTCAAACTTACCTTTTGTGGTCATTTTTTAAGGATCAATCCACGATTCTAGAGAAGTCATTGGGTTCTTCGAGTTTGATGACAAGAAGAAGAACATAACTGTAAAAATAATGTTTGACAATGTTAAAATTTGTCTATTAATTATTCAATACATTACTACAATACCAGTATAAACACACTGTAAGCATTCAATGTACTAAGCTTTTAATTGTAATGACGACCATACAAAGGTAGGTATTTTAAGCCTAAAAATGAATGGAAATGAGTGTAGGATGAGTGGATCATGTAGTCACTGACTAAGGCTGACATGTTCGTTTGACAGGACTGTTAATTAATAGCCCATACAGCCAATGTTAACAAAGGGACCTACAGTTTAGGCTATAGTGAAATCTGAACCACATTTTCCCTTGTTGAGCGGAGTGAGCGAAGCGAGCGAAGCTCTTATACGTCGACTCTTATGCATTTCGTAATACGCAAACTCCTCCTAGACGGCTGAATCAATCGTTTTCAAATTTTGCATGGTGATAAAGACCATATCGGTGAGTGCCAACATCTATATGGCGTTAAAAAATTCTCTCAGGAATCCGCCCCACTGGGTCTCAAAGTTTCAATGTAATCCTTATGGAAGCAGTATTTGACACATAAACCAAGACATGTGATCAGCTGTTGACTTTTGAATGCAGTAGATAAATAAATAGCTGATAACATTATTCTACAGATATTAGAACAGAAACGGTATGGATCATAAATATAATAAAATGACGACACTAGTTAGTACTAAAGGTGAGCAGTCTGGAGTGTGGAAACTGTTTATGACGATTAGATTGAGGTATCTGCATTCCAAAAACTATAAGGCAAGGGAGGAAAACGGGCCCGCGACGTAGGAAGTGATGAAGGAAGTAGTCAAGACGAGCTGTCCGGAGTGTGGGATCTGCTTATGACCATTATATTAAGGTATTTGCAATCCTATGATGCTATGGGAAGGGAGGAAACCAGGACCGTGACTTAGGAAGTGATGAAGGAAGTAGTCAAGGCTAGCTGTCCGGAGTGTGGGAACTGTTTATGACGATTAGATTAAGGTATCTGCAATCATAAAATGCTATGGAAAGGGAGGTAAACAGGTCCGTGACGTAGGAAGTGGTGAAGGAAGTAGTAAATGCGAGCAGTCCGGAGTGTGGGAACTGTTTATGACGATTAGGGCAAGGTATCTGCAATCCTAAAATGCTATGGGAAGGGAGGTAAACAGGTCCGTGACGTAGGAAGTGGTGAAGGAAGTAGTAAATGCGAGCAGTCCGAAGTGTGGGAACTGTTTATGACCATTATATTAAGGTATTTGCAATCCTATGATGCTATGGGAAGGGAGGAAAACGGGCCCGCGACGTAGGAAGTGATGAAGGAAGTAGTCAAGGCGAGCAGTCCGGAGTGTGGGAACTGTTTATGACGATTAGATAAAGGTATCTGCATTCATAATATGCTATGGGAAGGGAGGATAACGGGTCCGCGACGTAGGAAGTGATGAAGGAAGTAGTCAAGGCTAGCTGTCCGGAGTGTGGGAACTGTTTATGACGATTAGATTAAGGTATCTGCAATCATAAAATGCTATGGAAAGGGAGGTAAACAGGTCCGTGACGTAGGAAGTGGTGAAGGAAGTAGTAAATGCGAGCAGTCCGGAGTGTGGGAACTGTTTATGATCATTATATTAAGGTATTTGCAATCCTAAGATGCTATGGGAAGGGAGGAAAACGGGTCCGGGACGTAGGAAGTGATGAAGGAAGTAGTCAAGGCGAGCTGTCCGAAGTGTGGGAACTGTTTATGACGATTAGGGCAAGGAATCTGCAATCCTAAAATGCTATGGGAAGGGAGGTAAACAGGTCCGTGACGTAGGAAGTGGTAGAGAAAGTAGTATAGGTGAGCAGTCTGGAGTGTGGGAACTGTTCATGACGATTAGATTAAGATATCAACAAACATAAAATGCTATGGAAAGGGATGTAAACAGGTCCGTGACGTAGAAAGTGGTGAAGGAAGTAGTAAATGCGAGCAGTCCGGAGTGTGGGAACTGTTTATGACCATTATATTAAGGTATTTGCAATCCTATGATGCTATGGGAAGGGAGGAAAACGGGTCCGGGACGTAGGAAGTGATGAAGGAAGTAGTCAAGGCAAGCTGTCCGAAGTGTGGGAACTGTTTATGACGATTAGGTCAAGGTAACTGCAATCCTAAAATGCTATGGGAAGGGAGGTAAACAGGTCCGTGACGTAGGAAGTGGTAGAGAAAGTATAGGTAAAAAAGAAAGTAGTATAGAAAGTAGTATAGGTGAGCAGTCTGGAGTGTGGGAACTGTTCATGACGATTAGATTAAGATATCAACAAACATAAAATGCTATGGGAAGGGAGGAAAAAGGGTCCGTGACGTAGGAATGATGAAGGATGTAGTCAAGGCGAGCTGTCCGGAGTGTGGGAACTGTTTATGACGATTAGATTAAGGTATCTGCAATCATAAAATGCTATGGAAAGGGAGGGAAACAGGTCCGTGGCGTAGGAAGTGGCGAAGGAAGTAGTCAAGGCAAGCTGTCCGGAGTGTGGGAACTGTTTATGACGATTAGATCAAGGTATCTGCAATCCTTAAATGCTATGGGAAGGGAGGTAAACAGGTCCGTGACGTAGGAAGTGGTGAAGGAAGTAGTAAAGGCGAGCAGTCTGGAATGTGGGAACTGTTCATGACGATTAGATTAAGGTATCAACAAACATAAAATGCTATGGGAAGGAAGGAAAACGGGTCCGCGACGTAGGAAGTGATGAAGGAAGTAGTCAAAGCGAGCTGTCCGAAGTGTGGGAACTGTTTATGACGATATTAAGGTATCTGCAATTATAAAATGCTATGGGAAGGGAGGTCACAGGTCCGTGACGTAGGAAGTGGCAAAGAAAGTAGTAAATGCGAGCAGTCTGGAGTGTGGGAACTGTTGATGACGATTAGATTATGGAATCTGCAATTTTAAAATGCTATGGGAAGGGAGGAAAACGGGTCCGCGACGTAGGAAGTAATGAAGGAAGTGGTCAAGGCGAGCTGTCCGGAGTGTGGGAACTGTTTATGACGATTAGATAAAGGTATCTGCAATCCTAATATGCTATGGGAAGGGAGGTCACAGGTCTGTGACGTAGGAAGTGGCAAAGAAAGTAGTAAATGCGAGCAGTCTGGAGTGTGGGAACTGTTGATGACGATTAGATTATGGAATCTGCAATTTTAAAATGCTATGGGAAGGGAGAAAAAAGGTCCGTGACGTAGGAAGTGATGAAGGAAGTAGTCAAGGCGAGCTGTCCGGAGTGTGGGGACTGTTTATGACGATTAGATAAAGGTATCTGCAATCATAAAATGCTATGGAAAGGGAGGTAAACAGGTCCGTGACGTAGGAAGTGGTGAAGGAAGTAGTAAATGCGAGCAGTCCGGAGTGTGGGAACTGTTTATGATTATTATTTTAAGGTATTTGCAATCCTATGATGCTATGGGAAGGGAGGAAAACGGGTCCGGGACGTAGGAAGTGATGAAGGAAGTAGTCAAGGCGAGCTGTCCGGAGTGTGGGAACTGTTTATGACAATTATATTAAGGTATCTGCAATCATAAAATGCTGTGGGAAGGGAGGAAAACAGGTCCACGACGTAGGAAGTGGAAAAGGAAGTAGTCAGGGCAAGCTGTCCGGAGTGTGGAAACTGTTTATGACGATTAGGTCAAGGTATATGCAATCCTAAAATGCTATGGGAAGGGAGGTAAACCGGTCCGTGACGTAAGAAGAGGTGAAGGAAGTAGTAAGGTGAGCAGTGTGGAGTGTGGGAACTGGAAACCGTTTGTAGCGGTTAGATTAATGTATCTGCAATGCTGAAATGCTATGAGAAGGGATGGAAGCATCCCCACGACATAGAAAATGGTGAAAGAAGTAGTAAAGGCTAGCAGTGCGGAGTGTGGGGAATGTTTGTGACAACTAGATTAATATATCTAAAATACTAAATTGCTATGGAAAGTGATGAAAACAGGTCCACGATGTAGGAAATGGCTTAGAAAGTAGTAAAGTATGAGCATAGTGTGAAAACCGTCTATGGCAGTTAGATTGATGCATATTTAATCCAAAAATGCTATGAGAAGGGAAGGAAACAAGTCTATGATGTAGGAAATGCTGAAGGAAATAGTAAGGCTTGCAGTGCAGAGTGTGGGAACTGTCTTTGGCAATTACATTAATGTATCTGCAATCCTAAAATGCTATGGGAAGAGAGGGAAATAGGTCCACGACGTAGGGGGTGGTGAGGAAGTAGTAAAGGTGAGCGTGTTGAGTGTGGGAATGGATTAATTTATCTGCAATGCTAAAAAACTATGGGAAGAGACTGTAGACTGTAGGTTAAAATAGTTACGAAGCACGAATCGATACATATTTTGATACATGCAATCGTTTATAATAGTAATTTACAACTGAGTTGACAACAGCTGATTTTTACTCCACTTCCTAAAGAGTAAAAATGCTACTTTAGACCCGCAACGCATGCATTACAAACGACTGGTATTACTGCAGTATGACCAAAACAATATAATATAAACCCTTGATGACTCCGCTCAATTTTGTGGATGCCTCTGCGAACGCCACCTAGTAATTTACAAATTGGTCTGATTATCGGGATAGTACTGAGGATAGTCTATCAACTGTACACGACATTTTTAATTTGGTATAATCTGCATTAAATCATTTTTCACAGATAGCCAAGGTTTTGAAGAAAAATTTACTAACCACGGTACCTATACCTAAAAATGGAAAAATCTTAATTCACTTCTAATATTGGATAACCTTTAAGAGAAATTACGACTATTTGTATTTCACAATATATTGATTCCTTGTAGGCCTAGGCTATGCTGTTTCATTAACCTAAGCTCTGCAAGATGCACTCAGTCGTCACCTAACTACATGCAGTGGTGGAGTGGGGCGGGAATGCTTGGGGACAGCATTCCCCAATCTGCTTTTCTCAAAGAAATCTTGGTAATCTACTTATATTTTTACGTGACAGTGGTGAGCATTCCCGCACTGGAAAGTTTACGACTAAGTTACACCACTGCGTACATGGGGACCAAACTACACACTTGAAAAGGCACAATTTTTCGAGAAGAGCTCTATGTTAAATAAAATAAAGTGTATTACAAACAGGAAGTCTCATGTCATCGCCGTTAAGCGTAACTTTCGTGGCAGTTTCACAGTCCCATAGATAAAATCCATAAGTCATTGGCAGGATTTTAACCTGGGGGATCTCACAGAGCGATGCCCCACGCTCTACCAGTAACTTAGACCAGTTTGCTTCTAAACTGTCACCTTTTAAAGTCTGCCAAGATACTTACTCACGGGGCTAATTTGAATTCATAGGCTAATAAATATAGGCCTAATGTAAGTTAAGATAATGCCAAAGTTGTTTTAGTTTGTGTCAATTAGAGTGGTCTAGCCTACATTATACTAACTTAGGAAATCAGGACTCAAATTGAGGTCAAATTAGGGATGTGCATTGATAGTCGTTGTTTTCAAAATATCAATGTTTTGCTATCGATGTTGAACGTCTTTTACATCAATGGTATGTTACAGATTTTTTTGTTACACATCGATTTTTTCTTTAAACTGACTCAAACATCGATGTTTATGGCCTTGGAAGTAGACTATTGAGATAGCCTATGGATGTTTTCCATTCATTTACTGAAGATTACAAAAAACATAGATGTTTTGGTCCCAAACACATCGATGTTTTAGCAACAATGTTGTCGGTACATTGATGGTTGACTTCAATGTTACCACCAATGGTCAAACGTTGCTGAAAAAGTTCTACAAATTGGCATTGACTTGATCAATAGGCCTAGCTAATGTCATGTACAGCCTAGGCCTGATTTTATTAAGATTTATATAGGCCTAGGCCTAAGTTAGGCTAGATGACAGTTATCAGCTTAAAAACGTGCTGTACAAAACCTAGGACAGATTTAAAAAGAGTGTTATTTCATAATATTGAGTCATTTCAGTTGTAGCCTAATTATAAGAATAAACAAGACAACAATCATAACTAATCTTACCTAGACTTTGGTCCAATATTTAAATTACCTTCAAGTCCAACTGTAGAAACATTCATTTGACATAAATCAGACTCATGATTAGTTATAACTACAAAATATTACTTGGTCAACATCATAAAATTATGTTCAGTAAACTGAATTTACTCAAATAAATGAGTAAATAGGTTTGACGCCTGACAACAAAACATTCATCTGCTGAAACTGAAAGGTGAGAATTTCTAGGTTAGCCCGGTAATTTTTTTCATTTATATATTTTTTTTCATCAGCGTGAGTTTAGCGGGCTTTTGATTGGCGAATTTCAGCACATACGTTACTTCACAATGGCGTCTATGGAGAAGGATCCGATCCAGATAAAGTTGAAACGGATGGGATGTTGACAACTTACATATGTTTCAGTATGCATATAATAATTGTTAGTTCACTGTGACTGTATAAAACTTCAAAATGTTTAGTTAGAAGGCTTGTGACGAAGCATTGGACCTCATAACAGAAGAGCAGTGGTGTTTCTAAGGGAGTGGCTGTGGAAAAAGGTTTAAACATACATTTCGTCCTAAAAATGTTACGGAGATTTTTGGTCACAGTTCTAGAAGTTAAAAATGGTTTTAAAATAGTCGCCAAATGGGAAACGGCTTCAAAAATAACTAATTTTCTAGAGGAGGGCCATACCCTTTCTTACTGGGGTCCCACATCCCCCGAACAACAAAACTATCAACTCTTTTTAAATTGAATTGAGTTCCTAAATGGAAATCATCCCAACACAAAATTTATCTATGAGATCGGAGCTTTGGACAGGCTCCTAACAAACCGTTTACTTAAATGCCAATTGTGAAAACACAAAATAATAACATTGAAAATCTTTTGACAATCAGTTTTACTTAACCACAGAAACATCAGCATCTAAGCTTGATCAATTGATGAAAACTATGCTCAAACTAATTCTTTAGGTACATCAACTTTTTTTGCCCAGTCAATTGCAGTACTTAACGAATCTTTTAGTAGCTGTTCTTTTACTTCAAGAACCTTCACTCTGTCCTCATAGTTAGATTTTTCTTTGGTAAGTGACTGTAATGTGCTTACAAGTTCCTTATCCGTCATTACGCTCTGACCAGCCAATTCAAGCTGTTGTGCATCTTTGTTGAGTTTATCAGTTTTTTGTATCGTTGTTTCTAAACTTGTGAGTGTATCATCCATTTTTCTCTCGATTTCAGCCATCATTTTTGACAACGGTGACCCAGCCACTGGGTCGAACCGAACGAGTTCTTGGGTGTTCGGAACTTTGCGTTGTACCAGTGGTGTTCCGGGACTTCCGCACAGATCACACTGGTCCAGTACTTCCTTCTGTAGCAACCCAACAGCTGCTGAAGGCGGCTCTGGTGGAAGATTAGGTAGAAGGGGCCACAGGAACGTCATTAACGACAGTTTCTGAATTTTACGACTCGTTCCACCATTCCAGTGCCTAGTTGCCTCTTTTATACTTTTCAACTGGTCATTTACTTGTTTGTCAGATGTCATCTAAAATCATATACTTTTATTTTATTATAACTAAAAATAGAGTTCATAGCTACAAATTTCTTAAAAGCATATCACTACCGAATCAAAATATGAGTTAATTGATTTTGTACTTACCTTTAAAACAGAATCACTGAGAATTTTCTGATTTGTGTTATGTTGTCAGTTGGATGTGATTGTATTTGTATACAATAACTAGCTGTTGATATTTTTAAAGAAAGAGATAACACCTTGGAAAAGTACTGAATATAATTAAATTTGAATAATCAGCTGGTTATCCAAAGTATTAATAGAATTTAGCAGTGGGTTTGTTTCTTGGTCATGAGTTTTTTGACCAATATTTTGTAACAACATACAGGATTGAGTATCATGATAGCGGCTTCCAAGGTGAAAATAGACTATGTACTCTGGTCTTGGGCATGGATGTCCACCAATATGAGCTATAGGGGGCTTGAGCCTCCCCCTCCCCCTATGAGACCTCACGTTATCACATTAACCATGGATGGTGGGAACTAGTACAAAATTAAATACCCCCGCCGCAGAAAACCTCCAGACTAAGCGAATTTCAACTTGTCTCATACATTTTTACTAAAAATAAGTCATATTTATTCCCAATTTTAATAACATTAGATTTAACGAGTGCTTAGGTTTGCTACTACGGGGAAGGTAACAAGTGTTTTTTGACCATACGTCAATAGTATAGGATGAAATAAATAAATTTGCCAAATTTTATCAATATACAGGGTGCGGCAGAAAGAACTCCCCTATTAGGAAAGCTAATAAAAACAAAACCAAGTAAGATATGACATTTTTATTGCTATTAACCAAAAACACACATTATGCCATTTAAAAAAATATAAAATTATAGTGCTTTAAATAAAATGTCGTTTTAATAATCGATAATTTAAAATTATCGTGTTTTAAATAAAATGTCATTTAAATGGCGGCCTCCAGTGTTAACACATTGGTTCAAACGTTCCCGGTAGTTGTCCATTACCTTTCGGGTCATGTCGGGTGAGATGGCTGAAACTTCATGCCTTATTCTTTCTTTCAGGGCTTCCAAACTTTGAGGGCGATGTTCGTATACCTTAGACTTTCCATTTAAATGACATTTTATTTAAAACACGATAATTTTAAATTATCGATTATTAAAACAACATTTTATTTAAAGCACTATAATTTTATATTTTTTTTAAATGGCATAATGTGTGTTTTTGGTTAATAGCAATAAAAATGTCATATCTTACTTGGTTTTGTTTTTATTAGCTTTCCTAATAGGGGAGTTCTTTCTGCCGCACCCTGTATATCCATAAACAAGTAAACTACAACAGTTTTCATTTTCTCCATAAGAATAACATGGGAATTTTAAATTACACTATTTTTGAATTTTCTCCGTGACTGTTAGGCATACAACGGCACTTCAATATACTTAATTATTTATTTTTTTAAGCTCTACAAAACGGTTTAAAAACAAATTGCAAAATTTTGGTTTTTGGGGTGAAAAATGGAAAAAACCCCATTTTTACCCCATTCCCATGGTCCGATTATGCTGGTTCGCGAACTCGTTTGAAAAAAAAAAACGTAGGTTTACACGTTTGTACAAAATTTCATAAAAATCGGATCATCTTTGCTCGAGTTATCTTGCTAACAGACATATATATATATATATAGATATATATATATATATATATATATGAATTTGAATGGATGGTGTTTTTGGCCTCTGGGGATCTCAAAACGAAAAATTAAATCGGTCCCGGGTCCAGGTCTTACCATGAGTACTACCGTAATAGCTTATTCCCTAAATGGGAAATTCACTAAAAATACCTAGGTAGGGGAGAAGTTGAGATAAATTGTGTTGGGGAGCCAAGTACCACTTGAAATATCAGTGGGCTACAGCAATAAACAATTTGAACAATAAATTGACAAAGCAAATTTAGTTACAAAAATGTGTAAAATGAACAATTTTTTACCCAAATTTAAACATTTTTCGAGACTCCTTTTTTACTTAACTTACTTTACTTCTTAACTGGGATTATTTTGTAGATCCCAGACACCCCAGTACCCCTTAAGGCATAGGTAGATGGACGCTAGTGGTCTTAGGAGATATTTGTAGGTTACAGTTCTAAAATATGTATTGCTGCATTCCATTCGAAGCATCAGCCACCATTCACCAATTTAACGAGCTGTTGTCATCTCCTGAAGACCAAAATTAGATATCGTTAGAATCGCTCTATTTCAAACTATTGCCAATATTTTAATTTATCTTTTAGCCAAGACTTAAAACTCAGAAAGCTTTTCTCATTGAGCTAAAGCCAAGGTACAGGATATCTTTTAATCTGTGGTACAGTACTACTACATTCATGTGCAGCTTCATTCATACACTACCGTACGGAAGAGATATCTATCTGGATAAGCCATTTAAGAACATAAATGTTGTATGTGATTCACTACACTATGGATCAGCCATTCTCAACTCCAGACTCAAATTATTACTTTTGTGTTGGACTGTCGATTTCTAGTGCTGTATACCTTTTGGTACTTCCCCCTTTTTTCCCATGTAAAATAATTTATAATTTAAAAATTATAAAATTAGTTTTATAATTCTTCTTAAATCGACGTGAGGGGCTCTCCCACAATCCCCCACTCCTTTGCATATCAGGTTCTCATCGGTTTCTGACCAGCCCCCTGAGACGTTAGTGGCAAAGACCGTTTTGGTTTTTGACAAAATTTGTTTTTAATTCTCTTAAAAACACTAGAAACAAGTTGCTTGGAAACAGTATAGTCTATCTTCAAAATTTTATTGTTCATCACCAAATCTTTACCACACCGAACAAAAAATGTTGTAAGTAACTTTCAAAAGATTTATTCTTTACAAAATTATGAAAAACCATTAATATAGTTAATAGCATCAAGCTGATATAGTATATTTCGTACCTAGGGCCGAAAATGAGGTTTTGCCGGCTCGAGATAGTTTTTAAGTTCGAGACGAAGTCGAGAACTTAAATCGATCGAGAGCTGCAAAACCATTTCGGTCCGTGGTACGAACACTATTTTTCACCACACTTTACCCTATTACCACTATTCACCACTATAATAATGCACACTGATAGTCAACACAAATACAACTTTAAGGTTATGTGAAGAAATAATTTGAGGAATCAGCAAAAATAAAAATAAATAGTTGCTAGGCAACGGTGACAATAACACAATTCTATTGCAATGCTATGGATTTTGATTGTGTATTTAAAATGCATTCATGTTTTAAGTAAGTAAGCGGACAGCTGATTTTGCGGCCCCGGCCTGTAAAAACCTGCTCGGTCCCCAAATTATGGACAGCTGGCATCGCCAGCAAAACGTAACTTTCGGCCACCAATTAACGTATGTAATACAGCCAAAAACATCATAGTGTGGTGAAAAATAATTGATCCGCTTTTTCTGTGCTAAAATTTGGTAGAATATAAAATATAAGAATTTTTAGATTTTTCCAGATTCAATAACCTAATTATATTAGTTACCGTATTACCTTTTTGCCTTTTGTGATATAGTTTACCCTATGTACATTTTTCCAGCATGTCTGGCATCTTCAGGAAGACTTGTTATCTTCTTACACCACTAACATTAATGTCTATAATATACCTAATGATATAGTTTACCCAACGTACATTTTCCAGCATGTGAATGAGTAACTTGATGGCGGAGTCAAGGTGGTAGGAGGCCATTCTCCTGTCTATAAACTTGGATACCCTCTACCCAGCAGTCAAAAGTGGCACACACAACATCCTCAGTAAAAAGAAATAATTGAAAGACCTACCATTGACTCCTCTGTCCCGTTACTTGTTCGGTCCAACAGTGACACTAGTGACTAAACCGAGTGGAAGTGTATTAGTGTTAGCCAAACGTACTGACAAAATGTACATAGGGTAAACTACAACACCAAAACACAGGCAAAAAAATGCTCTGAGCAAATAGAAAATTTAACTATGTTTTTCAGAAGTGTGACCTTAGCTTCAATTTTTTAAAGTTAAACAAACATGTTGAGCAATCCTATAGTGAATTAGCTGGAATTCCAACCACTATTAATCCAGTTGATAAATTAAATCTTAAACTTCACTATGCCGAAGTCTGGTTTACCTACGTCATAAAATAAGACGCAACTTAGGACGATAACTAAGTGTGCAAACATAAGTCAATGACAACTATGTTTTTACTTTACAAGAGCTGTAACATATAACTTAGAAATGATAATTAGAAAGAGTAGTTACTTATCTGATTGATAACTAAACTGAAAAACATTATTACAATAGTTCTGCTTTACTGTTGCAGCAATCAAAATTCAATGTCAACCTTCAACAAAGTGAATGCCCCGGGTAAAAATTCACAAGCTAACAATTCCGAAACAAACCCTCCAAAAGAACATTCCAACGAAAGTAATTACTATCATACTTCACACAATTTACAATCCTTGGAGGGCCAATCAATGGCAAATATGCATGAAATGGATGCGGCAGAATTGGAAGGCATGGTGGCAAGTTTGGACATGTTCGATAAAATTCTGAATCAAGTGGAGTCTGTGAAAAAATCAAGAGAAGCTCTTTTAGTTCACAGCATGAAACTTCAGGAAGATATAAGACTAAGTGAAGAGATTGTATATGACACCAGTGGAGTTGAGAGGTTAGAAAACGCGAACTCAAAAGCAGAAGAGAGAGAAGACATATTAAAAACATTGGAACAGATGGAAACGCTTCTATCACATCCTATGTTGAAGGTGATAAAGAATTGGGCGGACACATTAGAATCTGCATTAGATCGAAACAAGAAAAGAACAGACTGACGGTAAAACAATGATTGGAACTGCCGTAAAACCTACCGTATAGATGAAAATAAAATTACACTTGTTACTGTTACTATTAGGTACTAAAGTATAATGTTTTCCCAGATTAAAAACTTAAATTAAGCCTAAATTAGTTATTACATTTTTGCATTTATTTTTTTATATTGTGTGTTTCTACTTCAGTGACATTTTTTACGTTTTGAAAGGGAACGGTAACAAACCCAGGTCTTATGTTATTGATGTTGTAGTTTATTACTGTAAGTTTTGTTAGCTTGTGTAGAATCTTCTGGGTATTTTTTATTATCTTCTTACATAATATTATAGAAATCAGTGTTAACAATGTCAAAAGTTGATAAGAAAATCCTCTGACGATGCCACAAATTACAAAATGTGCATCGGGCGATATACTATAACTTCAAGAACACAGACAAGTTATATAAAATATGGCTTTAAAACAAAACAAAATAGGAATATGTAACAAATTATACTTAAAACCTTTAAACAATTTGATCAAGTTTAGATTATAACCCTGGATAAGTTCTTAAGGCAAGGTCAAATCCATTAATTTAAACTTATAAATATAAAGTATATATTAGGTTAGGCAAGAAAGGTAAAATATACTGCCACACTACTTAATATTTTAAAATAAGAAGTTAACACCTTTAAATGAAGGAAAATAGTACAATGTACCTTAAATAACAAGTCCCTCAATTGTGAGTCACCCTTGATAACAAGTCTGTCTTTTTGATGATTCCCATAAGAATTCCTAAACGCTATTGAGGTTCTATACTGTAGTAGGATAGCTTGGTTTGTTCTATCCAAGTGTTACAATTTTATTCAAGAGAAAAGAATTAAAATATTTTTGATGGTTTGAATCAAGACACAGTTGGCCTTGTTTTTTTTTTTTTTTTTCGTATCGGGTGGTAAGAATTAGCTAATCAAATTGTACACAAAATAAAGCTTTTGTCATTAATTCAGACCATGGTAGTGATCTAAATCTAATATTTTACATTTTTGGAGAAATTTAAACACATTAAATTTTTCCAACCTGGAATACAGTATGTTGCAATTGCTCTATGAAAAGAAATGAAATAGTTACAAATGCATCTGTTCTATGAGGTTAACATTCATAATTAAATAAAGTTTTGGATTTAACAATTTATTTAAAAACTAATACTAAAAATGTATACCTCTCAAAATAATCTAGCTAAAATAAAAAATGATTTTTACGTTACTTATTTTTATTTCATAAATTTTCTTTCAATAATATTTTTTTAACATCCTTTTACATGATTACACTAAAAAAATTATATTCCACTAAAACTTGCAGACTATACAAATTAGGTTTCAGTATTTAAAAACCGTCAAACCAAACGGTTTACGCTGTATAATATTTTAACGATTGTTCCGAGGCAACTTTCGGTTAAGACTCCATGTGATTGATACAGTGACTTTGTATATTTGATTCCCCTCACACATCTATTATTAAAACTCCAACACTATTTTTAAACAACGGAACTGTTGAATGTCACTGACACCAACTTCAGCATGCTTCGTTTGTCACATGTGGCCTTATTTTTGTTATTCCAGTTAATGGAATCACACTCCATTCCAGTACCTTATCACAATGGTGAGTACACTCCATTCCAGTATTACCACAGTGATGAGTACCATTTTTGGTTTAGTTAATTCTGTTTTGTTACTGAACATTGTAAATAAATACGTAAATATTTTTTGGTAGTTTGTGCATCATTAATATTGTTTGTTTTGTGTTTTAGTTGTTGTTTTGAGCGATCATTATTTTTGAAATAGGGCGGTTTACATTTTAAAATTTTGACTTATATTTGACTAAGAAAAAAAAATTAGAGTATAATCAGTAGTCATACCATTAAAGAGTTTTTAATACTTGTAATATTATATTGATACTATTTAAAATTTGGATTTATCTGTGCAATCAGTACTTTCTTGATATTTTAAAATCACAAACAATAGTACATAATGTACACAAATTAGTTTATTATATATTCAAAATCAATTATCATAAATTAGTGGTTATTAAATTCTATCATTTTTTAAAGCAATAAAACTCCAATTGTATTGAACAGTTCATAACTACAATTGTACGATTTGATTTATATTGTTTGGTAATATTTTTTTTTAAATAGCCTAGGAACTTTTTTAATGTTTTTTTCTGACTTCGCTATATTAGCATAGCTCACTTTATTTTGTATAATGTTATAATGAAATCTCAACACTAACCTATAATATAACCTTACAAAAAGGAGTGAAATGCTCTTGAAAATATGTGTGTGTTTTTTATATTAAAGAAAGCTAATTATTATGCCATGTTTATTATCACTATCTAAAGTAATTGGAAGCAGTATAAAAGGGAAAACAAAATTAAAACCTAGCTCTCAGAAACTTGTGAAAGATTCAGTAGGTGAAGGATATTATGTCGAACATAAATAAAAATAACCATTAACAAGATGAACAAAAATATATATTTGAGGCAAGAGTTAGACATTATAAGCTTTGTATTAAAATTATGTTTTACATATTTTGTCTTTTGACAATTAGATAATATAAGAGTAACCACTATTCACTAACAGCTTTTTGTTTGCTAATTTATAACTTAGATTGTTGAAAGTCTTTGACTTTTATTTCGTTAATCAATGAAAAAATTGCAAACAAATCACTCTAAACTCCAATTTTGGTCCATATCACTTTCACGTGGTTTTAAATTTTACATATCAAAGGAGTAATTTTTACTCTAGATTGTGGTACAGTAAAGACCTGTTTTGCTAGAAACGGCTGGTGCGTCTAACGCTCAATGATGATCGCTTTGCATTGTTTTAGGTAAGTCTATTTTCCAGAAGTGTCTATCGCTAACTGCCACCAGCGTCTGTAACTGAGCCGCTAGCGTCTATTAGAAGGAGAAACACTACCTTCTCCTCTGCTGTTATTGGATGTGGGGTTTTGTTCAAAGACACCACGTGCAAATCCTTTTAGACTAAACTTAGCACAAAGTAGAACTGAAGTAGGACTTTTCTGTGTTCGCACAACATTTAAAAAATCTCATCATCCAATTCCTCAGCTAACAAACACTATTTGCTTGTTACAGCTCATTTCACAAACAGCACTTCTTTCGCCACCAAAGAAAACCACTCACTGATCAAACAATCGCAAGGAACAGACGATTCTGGCAAAATAGCCCTGAGCGATAGACACTGACTGTAGCGATCATCGCTAAGCGTCAGACGCCATCCGCTTCTGGCAAAACAGGTCTTAGGCCGGCCACACACGGAACCAGGCGGGGCGGGGCGCGACAGGGCATTTTGCCCCGGGGCGTCTTGTGCGACAGGAATTGCACGGGTGCTTATGGAGCTCCACACACAGGACCAGGCGAGGCAGGGCACGTCGAAAAGACGCCCCCGGGCGCCCTCGGGGCAAAATGCGAAGGTCTCCAAAATTATGCCCCGAGGCAAGTCGCTGCCGGGCAGAACTTTCTGCGCATGCGCGGTCATGTGATTTATTCCCTTACGGGCTAATTTTGATAAGGATTATTTTACAACTGATACAATTTACATACAAGACTGTAACAATTTATACGACCAAAGATTACATCCTTTGATACAGTGATAATATTACTACAGTGGTTGAATAACTAATAATTTATCTTGGTATTAATAACTGAGGAAACAGAGGGCCAACGTTCATAGCTTAAGGGTTTCAAAAACCACTCCTCTGTGGGAGGTATGATTTTGAATTTTGTTTTCTATTCTGCTCCCAAGTATAAAGTCAAATTTAAAAGTTGGCTAAATCGGCTCAAGGCTCAGAAATAAAAAATTCTATATTAATTTTCAGGTTTATGGGGGCTAAACTTTTTACTTGACGTGCCTTGCCTCATTCTGTGTGTGACAGCAACAAGACAGGGCCCAAGTCAGGTGTCTCGTCTTGCCCTGTCGCGCCCCGACTCGCCTGGTTCTGTGTGTGGCCGGCCTTAAAATTGCTGATTAAATTCAATATTTCTAATAGATCATACTTAAACAGGTTTGCATGGTCTAAACCAAAATTGGCATAGGAACATTTTCCAAAAAAATATATTGATAGTTGCAAGATGTAAAATAGTGATTATTTCTCTAGTTCTCACTTGCTTTCTCAAAGAAAGCATCTGTCTTATATTTTATCATATCTGGTTCATCCAACTTCTTTGTTGCTGTATCAATATCATTTTTAATCTCGGCAACCAACTCATCTGAAAAAAAAACCTTGAATAAGCATCTAGTAACTTTACCTATTAAAATTTACAGCTCTTTGAATTCGGAGGGAATAAAGATTGCTTCAATAGTGAGATCCATAAAAGATTCCCCAACACATTATGTAGGTATTATTTTATGTGCGTTTTGTTATTTGTTACTGACCACATTGACCAAAACAGCACATTTCAAATAGTAATACAGTGACACACGGTAATCTAACATGTTCGGGACTTTTCCGGAGCTGGATTATTGAAAATACCGGATTACTGAATGTCTTCTATACCAAAGCTGCTAAATATATGATAGAACATCAAGAGTAAATCGTTAGCTGGCCATTAATTTACTGGTTTTACTGAGCGTTTTCCTCCCTGGTAATAAGAACAGTAAAATTAAAAACCATCTGCCATTCATGATTGATATCTGTCCATCGCGTCAATGTCCAATGTCTGCCGAACGTGCTAGAATGGCTTAAAACATGATACATAACATTTCTAGACTTTACACTGATGCCGAGCTATTAAAAATCCGGACCATCAGATACTGGATTTACTGTATTTTGCGCAAGGGATTAGTCGAAAGATATGATAGGGATGAACAGTCTGCAGAGAGAAGAAATGTAACTCCAACTCATGCAGAACAGCAGACCCCATTTTAAAACTCATTCACAAGCCTGAATCAACAAACAAATATGAAACAGTTCTTCCATCATGAACATACTGGTTATTCAAAAGTTGCCATGAGTACAACCAAAGTACAGGCAAACAGTACAATGGCGAGAGTCGTGGAGAGCGTCTCTCAATAAACTCATCATGATAATTCAACATATTATTAATTCGACTTTCAAACCCGGGACCTTGAGTCGGGGAACAAGTCACACTAGCTAGGGACTAGCTCTACCACTAGACCAGATGTACTTGCTTCCCGATTTGCAGGTACATGTACACATTGTCACCAAAATATTAACTACCTAAACTGGATGGTAAAATACTGTCAAATAAGACTGAATTGTTAAGTATTCTAAAACAGAAGATCGTTTACTTTTAATTCTGTTGGAAAAGTTCTGATTGCAACCAAATAAAACTTTACAAACTTACCAAGGGAATTAAAACTTCTTTCAGGTCTTATATAACCCAACATTATCGTTTTGAGATTGCAATCGTAGAGATCACCATCAAATTTGTGCATTATGTGTGTTTCCTGTAACAAACATGTTTTGCAGTAACAAAAACTGTTAGGTTAAACTTAAAATGTTTGCGTTTTTCCCACTATACACTTTAGAAAACTATACCTTTTTAATAATAGAAAATAGCTTTAAGGTTGAATTAAATGGTACAAATACTTAAAATTATTGATATTTAAATACAGAATTTTCAACATTTTATCTCTAAACTAAAAAATAGTTTTTGGTGTGTGTGATTTTGTGTTTGATTTCGGTGTACTTGATGGCTTGGATTCAGTAGCAACTGATTCAATGTCTGTCTAAATATTTAAATTTCTTAATTATCGAGACAATATTACTCACTTCAACCATTTTTGCAAGTGACTACATCATTAACATATAAAGGTACTAGCAGAGTACCCGTCCTTCGTACGGGGTTGGCATATAAGTATAAAATGCTTATTGCAGTTATACTCGATTTTTGCGTTTGCAATGTGTGAAGACACGGTTTGAGAAAATTTGCTTCCTAAAATTTACGGTATGCTATAGAATTACAAAGGTATTACACATCTACCATAGCCATTATGTTCTACCACTTCACCTACACAATAGAGAAAGATAGATTATTAAAAATTTGCAAAATATCACAAATTATTCATGAAATAAAAAAAAACTGTAAACAATCCTACTTTGACAGTTCTTGTTGCGTATCACAGTTTTTTGTTGCTGCTTAGTTCAAATTAGCTGTGTTTATAAATAATGAAAAAAATAATAGTGCTGCACCCTGTTGGTAAATTTAATGCTTTTGCATATCATAGAACCAACTCTTTTAGTTGAAACAGCTGGCTAAGTTTCTTTAATTTCCTTTAAATATGAATACTCATAAGGTTAACATGGGAAATTTCAGAGCCACTGGGGCGGAGCCCGAAAGGATTTTTGAAATAAGAATATGCCTATATGTTAATCGGGAATGTGAGCTATCATCATGCCAAATTTCAGCCCAATCCGACCAGTATTTTTCGTGTTTACTTGTCACAAACATACATACATCCATACATCCAAACTTTCTCATTTATAATATTAGTAGGATTTGTCCTCACCATTGATTTCTTGGTGTTATTGTAGAATGGGTTCCATCCGATGCTCATGACCATCTTATGAACTGGACTTTGATCCACCTGTGCCCAACCATAGTAAACGCCCGTCTGTATAGACTCTGGTAGAGATTCCACTACTTCATCGGAATAGTTTGCTGTAATGAAAATAATAGTACCATTACGCGCAGAATAAGCGTACTCCTCGTATATATGTTGCAGCTGATTCCTGTTTTGGCAAATCTCAGCTGTCAAGCTATTGTTTTAAATATGTAGGATCATGCGGAGGGAATAGATTTCTTCCCCTGAAACTCTCAAAATGTTGTGGACGGTAGACAAACACCACATGTAGCCACTGAGCTGCCCATGTAAAGAAGGGTTAAAACCCTGATTTTTTTTTAAATTTTACATTTTATAACAAAAAAATAAAAATATGGACGAAATAATCAAATAACCTATGTTTGATTTTTATTACCAATAATGTAAGATAAAAGTGTAAGCCTGGATAAAATTAAAAAAAAAAATCTGTTTCACTCTATTTCAATGAACAATGAATTTCACGAATTTTTCCTATTTTTGAGAACTTTTATATACAATTTTTTGATTGCAATATTATATTTGCAAACACCCCCATACGCATCTAGTTAAGGGAAACGACAAGAGAAATTCAATCACTAAGTGAAACATCATCATTGACGAACGTATTCATAGTAATCTGCATTGAAAGATGTTTTACTAATGTCCTGTATTAAATGAATACTTCAGCTGAATGGAAACATGTCATAATCTTTTGGTTTAATAGTGCAAGAGTTTTGGTAGGGGTTGGTTTTAAAAACTGGTACGGTATTGTAGAAAACTAATTACTTCTTTTATAGCTATTTTAGATAATTTCTTGATAAAAAGACAGGTTACATTAAACAGCGCATCATGACTTGGAAACATACACTTTTAACTAAAAACTTCTTGTGTTGCCATTAAGTGTCATGGTCGGATCTATAACCGGGACTGATTTACTTTTTCGTTTGATGTCCCAGGGTCCAAAAACACAATCCCTTCAGATTCATATGTACAGAGTCTGGTTGTCAAATCAGTAAGTAAAAAAAATAATATAAATATATATATATATATATCTTTAATGGGTAAAAATCAAACAACAATCTAGAATAACATTTTTTACAAAAATACCTTGTACTGAGATAGAGGCTATTTTGTTTTTTGTTTAATCTATCTCAAAAACTATTTTAGATATGGTATATTTATGAAAATTGGTAGGGCCTAGGCCTATACAATTTTTTCAAGTTAATAAATGGCTGATTTTTTGGCAAAATGTTATACTGTAAAACTTTTATTTAACATTCAAAATTCTATCAAAAGACTCCAAGTTCAAAAAGTTTGAATAATAAATATATAAATAGCAGAGAAATCACAATTTAAAGCCACAATAAAAAGCTGAACTAGGCCTACAGATCTCACTATGTTATTCAACCGTCCTAATAAAAATAATACAAAGACGTAATAAATCAAATCTACCGTAACTGTAAACCCAAGGCCACAAACTAAAAAAACAGGCCGTAATGCTCGTCAAGCAATGGGATTGTGGATGACAATGATGATGTCCCCTTGATTGCGGCCCACGGGAATTATTCACAATTTTGCTGCGCTCACAGGTGACACTGATGATGTCGTCATGATTGCGGCACAAGGGAGATATTCACAATTTTGCTGCGCTCACAGGTGACGCTGATGATGTAGTCATGATTGCGGCACAAGGGAGATATTCACAATTTTGCCTCGATAGTGGGTTTCTCTGATGATGTAGCTGTGATTGCGGCCCACAGGAGATACTCACGATTTTGCCGTGGTGGAGGGTAACGCTGATGATCACCTTGATTTTGGCTCACGGGTGGTGTTCACGGTTTTGCCGCGGTCGTTGGTGAATCGTTGGGGACGATGATGATGTCCCGTGGTTGCGGCTTACGGGAGATATTTACGATTTTGCCATTGTTATGTGTGTCGATGATGATGTCTCTGTGATTGCAGCCCATGGGGGATGTTTAAGTTACTATTTATTTGCTGCAATTGCCAGGAATTTCCCCATAGGGGTGGGGGCCGCTTGAGTAACTTCATTTGGCCTAGGGCCCCAGATACCCTAAATCCGGCACAGATTAAGTTAATTGATATGCTTGTTAAATAGATTTTCCTTCATAGGCATATGATCAGTTATCTAGCAGTGAGTTCATGACATTCATATTGTTATCCCTACTTTTTTATAATATAAAATTAAATAAAAATCTCAATAAAATGTAAATTTCAATATTAAGATTATAAAGTAAAAGAATATTGGCCTAATATAAGCGTTCACTATTGCAATAGTAAGTTTAGGGCTAGGCTTACTAATTTTTTTGTTCATATGGACAAGCAACGGCCGGTTTCTACCCATAAACTGCCGTCGACATCGCATATTTGCGTCAATGTCCTAATGTTATTCTAGGAAAATAGTTTCTGTTAATTAATTTGGATAGGCTAGTGTGTCTTTTTTACCTGTTGGTATTCCTAATTCCTTGGAGCCCCGGCCAAAACCTTTTATTATCAATCCACTGGCATAGAATGGAAGAGATTCACAAACCATGTTCAATCCAGTTTTTAAAGTGCTGATGTTCACAGGCTTACTACGGAATACAACAAATATTTTGAGTACGCCTAAACTAGGTCACCATAACCTTAAATCAATTGTTTAGGCTAAGCCGTGACTAATTGGTTAACTTAAAAAAGTAATAACACAAATTAAAAATATCACTACCAGTAGGCTTTTTTCCGAAACTATTTAATGATAATACTGGTTAAGTTATAAGAGACAGCTTGTTTCCATTAGTGAAAGTTGTAATTGTAAACAATTAGGAGGTTATCTTTCGTAATAACAATAAAAAAATAAATAATGAACGAACATGGAATTTCTTGACAAAAAATGACAACAGCTAAACGACCACCTGATTGTCAACAGCTGACTCTGACTGGTTCTGGTTCAGATCACATGATGAGAGATCTTTACTTTACCTCATTCAGCAAGACATTTTCTTAACCCTTAGAGTGCCAGGCGAGAAATAAAAGTAACGCTCAAAAAATGCCGATGATTATTCCCGAAGGTCGCGCTTAAAATGCCGAGCGCAATCTGGCGATTTTTAGGTTAAAATTTCGTAAAAATCGAATTTTCGATATTTCGACCAACGAAAATCGATGTATTGCATCTAGTAACTTTTGACTCAATGTTAATATATGGGTTAAAAGAATCCGAGTATCCATTCGGTTGTTATGACAACTGTTCGATCATTACGAAACGTCCGGTCAGCCGGACGTTGGCACTTTTGGCTCGTTCTAAAAACGTCCGGTCGGCCGGACGTCGGCACTTTTGGCTCGTTTTAAAAACGTCCGGTTCCCTGGACGTTGGCACTCAAAGGGTTAACCATGAAACTCTTGTGTTATTCTTTGAAATTAATGCAAAATTTATGTATAAACGCTGCTTTCCATGAATACTATTTAGTTAATTATATAAATATTAAAAATTAATCATATAACTAATTGAATAGTATTAATAAATCAAATTTGCTTTTTGGACGAGAAAACTTCAACATACAACTAAGCTATACAACTTTGATTGTTTCTTCTCATAACTTATGGGTTTAGTTTTCGAAATACTTGCATTGCTACCTAGATGGTAATTATGTCAAATACTGCAGAGATTATCACATTAACTTAAAATTGTAAAATTCTCATCCAATAATGAAATCTGAAGTCTTTTTCAACTGTTTTCTATAATTAATTGTGGCCTTTGTATGCTATACTTTATACTTTCTTATATGCTAGTTTCAACTGAGTGGTTTTTCCTAGTTTTAGTGATCAATTTTTAATTTTGTTACAATTTGGTTATAATACCATAGAAAAATCTTTGGTTTGTAAATTTGTAGTTTATTTGGTCTGGTTTAAATTCATTATTCTTGATGGTTCATTATCATCGATGATTTTTTCTATGTTTCAATATTTAAAATTTTTACAAATATTTTCTTATTTTTTAACCAATGTCTATTTTCTTTCTTGTTTAGACCTACTACCGATACTCTCAAGTCTCGCTGCAGATGTAAAAATAAAATTCGTCTGCCGTCTGCTCATGACTCAAATCTTGTATCTTGTGTAGTGAACCTCTCCTTTGGCTGTCTGCCACTTCGTATAATTTTGCAATTGCCTCTTTTGTAATTTTAAAATTAATTATCATTTAATAACCACAATCTCAAAAAGATATCGTGACAGTTCGACAGATGTACTCTGACATTTGATCAACGACTACAAGGAAGCATGTGTGTTTAGTTCCTGTTTTGATTATTTTAACTAAGCGGTAACTAACAAGTAAGTCTTTAATTTTTAATAGGCATAGCACAAGCCGAGAAACTATAAATAGCTTAGCAATTTTTATTTGTAGTAACTTACAGTATTTCTAAAACAAGTAAGTTATACACTCGAATTATATTGAAAATTAAATCTAGGCAAAGTGGCTGTTCCAACTTAATATGTAGGGCATAGGCTTCAAAATGAGTGATTAATAAATTTACTAGTTTTCCTTTAAAATTAATTGATCAACTAATTGGGGAATATACATCAATTTAGACTATTGAACTATGTAATTTATAATTGTAATTTATGTATATAATTGCCTTTTTAAAACCATACCAATAAGTGTTGGTTACTAAATATTTAGGCAGTTATCTATTAAAATTCAACATTTTTCCATTGCATAGGAATTAGGCCTATGCTATCTAAAAATTCATATTTTAAAGCAAGTTAAACCACAGAAGAAAGAAGATTTTAATATCATCTTTGGTAACATCCCAAACCCCGGTATTTTTTACTATCTAATGTCAACCTGGCGTCTGTTTAGGCCTCTAATTGTGATAAATACATTTAAATGGCTATTTTCGGAGGTGTTTGATCGTGAATCGTGTGATTAAACTGTGCATTGCTGATCACCGAGAATATTATTCAAAATTGAAATAAAGATCTGTTTTGGTTTAAAGTGTGTAATTAGATTTACAAGACAGTACTTTCCTGTTAATGTGAACATTCATTATTATCGATGATTTTTTTTATGTAACACTATTTTTGTTTTCCTTTACAATTCATAACTTAGGCCTATTCCTTCTGTTTTAATAGGCTATCTTAAAAATCACAGAAATCACAAATGGACAAATGGAATCTTGTTTAGGCAAAAATAATATATATATATATATAGGCAATGGATTAAAAAATGAAACTGTGGTAAACTAAGCCTAACATAAATACCAAACTTATAGTAAGTACCATTTCAAAATTCTGTTTGATATCGCAAAAAAATCATCAATAATAATGAGTGTCCTTTAACATGAAAGTAACAGCCTACCTATGTAAAAAATGAATAGGCCTACCTATCTAAAATTTATCTTACAAGGCAAAAGTATAGATAAGTTTGTTGTAATTGTATATTTTAGAATTTTCAGTTAAACTCGCCTCAAGCAGTAAAAACACTCAATGCTCCTTTTTTATACGACCAAAATCGGATTTCCTTGAAACTTTTTATAATAGTAACCTCTTTAAGATCTTTTAAGGTGGAGAAAGGAATAAACAGGCTACTTGAAAGCTATTGTTAGATAGATAGATAGATGGATTTATTTGATCATTAAACATTATAGGCCTACATAAAATGCAATAGATCATGTCAATATAGTAAACAAGTACATGCAATCAAGCTACATCAATTAAGGTTTACATGCACACAAAAAATAGGTACTTATAAGATAAATTATGAATAATGCAGACAGGCTTACTAAATAATATATGCAATAGTAATTAAGTATAAAAAAGTTAAATCACAGTGGGCGACATTATATTATTAATATATATTGTGTCATAGTCTAGATAGATAACCCCTCTATTGTCTAAGATAAACAGATGTGGCTTACTCCTGCAATTAAGGCTTGTTAATAATAATAATTACTCTAATAATTGCTCCAATTAAGTTGTTACTGGGGTTAGTGGAGAGTAATAAATCCAAAGTACTGGGACAATGTATTCAAATACTAAACAGACTAAAACAACAGGTAGGCAATGGCATTAAAACACACTATCAAATTAAAATCCTCTAAAATATGTTATAATAAATTAAAATCAAACAATTACTTAAACCTTAAAGATAACAAGATCATTCATATTTAAACTATATTTGTGAAACTGGTTACCCAGCTGAAATAGTGCTCGCAACAAACAAAAGATTGTCGATTATCCTGAGAAAGTCCGTAACTTTTTTATGTTTCAAAATTACTCCCAGCTTTGGGTTTTAGATCAATTTTAAATCATTGGGCTTTAAATAAATGACCCTGGCTTAGAAAACAGCTGATCCTAGTCTGTAACAAAGCTATTTCATTCTTGTGTAAAAAAAGGTACACTCTTATTGGGTTAAACAGGTACATTCAGGTACCTATAAAAAATCAAAGATAGGTTATATATCGCTTTGAAAACCCTCCTAAGCTGTTTAGTGCCAAAAGTGAAAGAACATTTAAATACTGGTTAAATAGGTTTGAACTTGAATAGTTTTACGTTTAAAGTGTATATTTTCTATTAACTGTTTTGTATATTGACTGTACAACCCCTATATTTTCTCTCAGAATCCACCATGAGTCGAATGGAATTTGATGCACCTCCGTGGGACCAGAACACATTCATCGGTCGACTGAAGTACTACGCTTGGGTGACAGACCCAAGGTTAGCACTGTGCACAGACACACAACTAAATGAAGCAAAGACACTTCGGGATCTCTACCTGTAAGTATACAAAACTTATAATGTGATATAGCCTACCACAGAAAAGTGAGGTACAAAGGAAACTTGGGCATGGGACTTTTAGCTCTAGTATGTTGTGCTGGAAATATACTTGTGACGATCAAGGAAGAGTTTGAGCAGCGAGGACTGTGGGGATATTCCTATCACAGGGCGATCCTCCACCCTGATGAGCATTGTAGTACATGAGGGCGAGGGGTGGTGTTGGACTTTGTGCTAGACACCAGCAAATTTACCATTGAATATTTCCTCTGAACCTTACTTACTTCTAGACATTAGAGCCTAGATAGGAACATACTTAAGAAAATAACAATTAAAATATTAAGCCTACCTACTTTTTTATTGCATCTTTACATAGTAAATTGTGGGGGAATATTAGTGTGTTTATGTTATTTTATTTGTTTACATAAAAACTTTGTTTTCAACCTCAGGAAATTTGGGGATTTATATGATTGGAAATTCAATGCAGTATGCAAATCAACCTAATTGGTCTGTTGTTCTGTTATACTACATAGTATTTTGCACATCATCTCCAATAATTTTGCACAGATTGTTTCTGCAAATGGTACTGCATAAAAACGCCCGAAAGTTTTTAAGTCCAGTAGCGTTGGCACAATGAAAATATATGTTTAAAATTGTTTACATAAAATGTTTGTGTTTGCCTGTTGAGTTGTGATTGTCAGTTCTAAGACTTAAAAATAACAAAATCTTTCCAAACAGAATGAAATTGCCAAGATAGCTTCCAAACGGTTACAGAGAGAAAAAGTTTATGTTTAAGTTAACGATGTGGCCAGTGCCACTGGTCAACTTTAGTACTTGCCTTACTTTACTCTAGGCCTAATACATTTTATTGAAATGGCAACCCTGATCCCAAAGGGATGATTGCAAAGATTCAAACAATATTTTTTAGTTAAGGTTTATTTTTATTTTGTTCTTATAAAACGTTTATTTACAGTGCAGGTAAAGAACCTCCGAACGTCTCTCGAAATGAGGTGTTACGGGCCAAGCAGATATACGAGAGTGCGTTCCACCCGGACTCGGGTGAGAAGATGAACGTGTTTGGTAGGATGTCGTTCCAAGTCCCGGGTGGTATGCTTATCACCGGCGCAATGCTCACATTCTACAAGTAAGTGGGTCCTAACTACCATTGACTTTTGAATAGGTGAAGTAGAAATCGCATCCAAATGGACCAGCTGTTGCCAATTTTTTTTTCAAATAGAATACAGCTTAATCGAGGCACTACAGAATGTGTTTGAGTCAAATTTATATTTTCTCTCTTATTTTTTTACACTAAACTTTGGATAGGACTTAACAAATATTTACAGTTTGGTTTTGTTAAAAGTTGGCATACCTATTTCAGAGAAACGAGTAATTAAAAATAAACACACTCAATTTAATAATAATTATGTTTTTTGATTGAAAAAGGATGGGATGTTGACTTCTATCAATAGTTGTAAGTACTTTGTTTAATTTTCGGATAAAACAAATATAGGCGTACTCTGGACCAGCTGACAAAAATAAAAGATAATCTATGAGGTCTTATTTGCACTATTTAAATATTATTTTGGTACGATCTCAACTAGCTATTTTTGGTAGCTGGTTGTTTACTGTTACTACTACTCTATCTTTGTTCAGGATTGGCCTTGAGATGTGTTGATGTTTGTTGTTGGTGATGACTGTCTTGTTTAGAGGAATGCTGCGGACACTTTCAATCTTCATGGAAAATGTGTACAATGATTCTTTGAACAGTGATATCTAAAAATTTAAAGAATGGAATTTGGCTACTCCCACTTTACATATTTTGAAACATTTTGTTCTTTATCATTAAAAACGTAAGAGAGAGTAGGTTAGTAATTTATTTTTCACTAGAAAACTACACCACTCAAATGCAGAGTTTGTTTTTGAAATATTTGAAAATGTGTCTCTAAAAAACGGTTTCTCCAGTATTGTTGTACTGTTTGGATAAGTCCCAAAATCGCTGATATAATTTTGATATTTGTACATATTGTTTTTATATTGGTATTACAAAGTAAATGTTTTCAGGACTACTACGGCAGTTGTGTTTTGGCAGTGGGTGAATCAGTCGTTCAACGCTCTAGTCAACTATACAAACCGCAACGCTAAGTCTCCGCTGACAGAGACACAGATGGGCGTCGCGTACGTCTCGGCCACAGCGGCCGCGTGCTTCACGGCCATGGGACTCAAGTCCTACTTGGCCAAGAAAGCTGGCCCGATGATGCAGGTAATGATCTTGTCCAATCAGAGTTGCGTGTTGGGTAGGATGATGTAAAATTGTTCCAAACAACACTGAAAGTCATAGTGGTATTGTAATAAACCAACGGAAATTAATCGTTTTAATTACTCCACAAGATAACAAAAGTGAAAATTATGGGGAAAGATTCTTGTGAGCATACGCGTTCTACTGAAATTGACAGAATCCATAACCTTGTCTGTTATTTGTATCAATGCCTAATTTAATTTATTAATCTGTTGTCTTGTTATTGTTTCATATTGCTTTCTGCATGCAATGGGTGCCAAGTTTCCTTTTTTTACTGAACGAAAACAATCTACTCATGTCTACAGCACTAAACTTGTTGAGTCAAATTTATGTACATTGCAGAGGTTAACTGTAAGAAAGGACCATGAGGTCCTAAGTTTGCCTCAATAAAGATGCATTTTAATTTAATTTCATATGTACAATTTAAGTCAGTTCGAGTATTGTTCCGCAGAGATACGTCCCCTTTGCGGCCGTGGCTGCAGCCAACTGCGTCAATATTCCGCTCATGCGACAAAACGAGTTGATCAAAGGCATCGACGTGTCAGATTCTAATGGGAATATCATCGGTGAATCAAGGGTAAGTGGTTGAACTTACAGTTATAAGCTTTAGAACTAATTTTAAAAATACGTAACGTAACTGTAATATTCCAAAGAGCTGTAACCCTACTGGGACTGTTTCAGGACTATGTCCTCTTCAGCCAATGAAATATAGTTTTATTATGCTACTCAAATATCAACTATAATAATTCCTAATAAGTCTCAATCACAACCCTTTATGCATCTCAAAACCATTATGGTTGTTTCTTGGGAAACTCATAAAAATGATGAGGTAAAAAGTTGTCTGTTAACTACTGAGCAAAGTTGCACGGTTTTCTAACGGTACAAAAATATTACTGCTTGCCAAGTGCGACGATTTTATATCAAGTTTAAAACACTCCATTATATTATATCAACATTTTATCATTATGTGAAAATAAAAAAAATTAAAAAAAAACATTTAATAATATTATTGTTAACCCTTTCAGTGCTATGAAACGATATATCGTTGTTTTAAAAAAACCCTAAGGGATACAGAGAGGAAGGTTATTTAAAAAAAAAATAGCAAAACGGCCATTGGTGACCTGCATGTTCATAGGATACACTACCAACCACTTAGCTAAAAGATTCGCCCAATCCGATGATTTTGAGGTGTATGTCTAAACCAAGGATTATGAACACCTCACTATGCCCCAGTGGTTGTAGTATATCGCTACAAACACACAGGTCACCAATTATTTGCCACACAGGACGGGATTCGAACCCGAGCAGACGAATGCCACTGGCCAAGTGACACACGCCCTAGCCTTCTCGGCTATCTGTGCTTGAAGACTGGGGAGTCAAAAACCTGTATTTAAGCTGTCGCCACCGATTGCGAACAGATGGCGCTGCAGATGGTTGTTCAATGCGTTACTAGGTAGCAGCACCAGCTAGTCACGGACTATTTAGATGCAATCCTTTAGTTTTAGTAGTAGTAAATGTGTTCCTGAGACTTTGCTGCAAAACATTAGTTTCCCTAAAATTGCTATATTACAATAACCTCGTCCAACTAAATCAGGGTTAAATTCAATATTACATTTTAAACTATATGTCTTTTGATTTTGTGAGATTTCGGTTTAAATAATGCTATCAGAACATAAAAATTTATAGGAAAACCAGGAAAATTACAACAAAAACTAAATTTTATTTGATGTTTACTGCAGTTTCTTATTGTGTTATTATTCAAAATTAGCCTAATTAATAAAATAGTGACAACATGACAGTTAAAATTCAACAACGGGTAATGGAATTAAAAGGCAAACAAAAAAGTCTTACAAAATATGAATTATTGGCCTAGCACTGAAAGGGTTAAATACAATTTGTCCAAACATTGAGCATACTTTTCCATAAAAGAACACTGGTAAAAAAGGGAATGTTGCTGAAAGTCAACAGTCCCGGAAGATCAAATAATTTATACCTGTGCCGCTAGGTCAAAAACTACAATGTTTGCAGTGTCTGTAGATCAAAAGTCCCAGTAAGTCAAATAGTACAGTCCGAGCTAAAAACGTGGTCTATGTTAAAGCAATTGACTTATTGGGAATTTGACCTAATGCAACAGCAGTTTTAATATAACGAAATACGGTAAAATACAAGTTCAGTTTCGCTGAGTCAACAGTGCCGGAAGATCAAAAGCAATAAAAGTGAACGTCGATTCAGTGTAAAGTAGACCTCCTGCAACGCTTACTACACCAACAAAACCCGCTTTTAGTTACTTCGTGTTTTGTCATAATTAGAATAGAGCTAAAATTATCATATTTGGTACATAGCTTATCTATTAATGCTTCTTGCCAACTGTTTGGTCAACACTGTAAATAGGTATAGTTTATGTAATGAAAAGCCTTTCGTCAAAATTTGTGGCATGAAGTACACGCAAGGATGATCTGAAAATTTCTGGTTATTATATACGTTTGTAAAAGGAGACCCATTTAATTTTAGAACTATTTTATGAGTTATAATGTAGTCTACACATCAACTGTGTAAATGTATTACGCCTCACCAGTTATTTTTTTCAAATGAATGTTATTTGAACCAAACAGCTGTTTCAAAACAAACTGTTTTTGTTTTTACTTTTCTTTGATTACACTTATTTATTTAGCAATTAATGCAGTGAAATTGATATAAAGGATATGTGTGACAATTAGTTTTGATGTTAGGATACCAAAGCTAAATTTTGTGTCCTGTGAATTTTATTAAATATTATCGTTTTATTTTAAGTCGTTTCTATTCAGACCTACTGGAAATTGTGTATAGTAGTTGTATTGTGGTGATAATGAAGAGGCAGGTATGCTATAGAAGGTGGTATCGTTGACTAGGTCTGTACACTTATCAATTGACTATTACTCACTCTTCTGTAGGCTACTTATAATCAGTGTGCGTCTGTGCGAATCGGCCACATCGGCTGCAAATCTCACTTCAACGCTTTTCACATCGTAACAATTAATTGCAGAATTGCTGTTTTATTGTAAAATTATCGGATTTAAAATGCATATCGTATAGGCCTATGATGGAATAAAAACATATTTGGTCACACAGCATTTGTTTACAAGATGATTTTTCACATTAAAACTGCAAGAAACTATGTCTTTCTATGTGTAAACTAGCTGATCTGAATTGTACAGGGTTTTAACTGACTACCGGTACTGAATTCCCGTACATAGGACGGGCTAACACCTCGTATATTATTAAAACGTAAATGAGGGTTTTTCACATTCTGAATCAACCAGTCGACGGATTTTCATTATTTTTGTGTTGAAAGAAAGATAATTTTGAGAACTAGGGAATGTCAAAGCCATAATTATAATTAAGGGTCCCAGTTTTTTAGAAATTAAGTTTTAATTTTTAAAAAGTCTAGCAGCCGACGCTAACCTTCTTAAGCTAGCTTTTAGTACAATATAATTTGCTTAACATAACAGCTGTAAACATTCAGCATTTGTGACACAAATTCAGCATTTGGAAACAAATTTAAAGACATATTTAGAGTTGACCTATTTATACTATGTGTAATGCAGACCATCCTGCTGACCCAGATGATACATTCAATTCTTAGGTATGAGGATGGCATATTAATTAAATATGCATAGTAAAATAGTAGGATGTTCAAATGATTTTTTAAAGGAAATCTTTGTTCTCATTGCTTTGTTTTAGTCCCATATAATTTGTTTTAACTAACAGCTGGTTGAATGTAATATTGTTCTATATAACTATTAGGTTTTTGGCGAATTTCCCATATAGGGAATAAGCTATTACCGTAGTACTTATGGTAACACCTGGACCCGGGACCGATTAAATTTTTCGTTTTGAGGTCCCTAGAGGCCAAAAACACAATCCGTTCAAATTCATATATACAGGGTGATCAACTCAAGGAGGCCACCATTGGGAAATCGGAAACGGTAAGAATTAGAGAAAACTTTAAATGGGGGACATTCCTTTATTTTTTGTGGCAGTTAAAAATATGATTTTAGTTTTTTTATCATGTTTTTGGATAGAATATGCAATTTAAAAACTTTTTTAGCCTTGACATTTTTTCGATAAACCCACTCGTTTAGGAGTACAGCCTATGGAAAAATGACTTCCGGTGTACATTTTACATCATGTAGCTCCTAAACGAGTAAGTTTAGAGCAAAATTGCAAAAAGTAAATTAGTCTTAGAATTGCATCTACATTCCTTAAAGACTAAAAAAGAACAAGTTTGCCGCCATTTTTTTAATAATATAATTCATATTTTTAATGAATTTTATGGTCTTTTTGGAATGTGGATGCAATTGTAAGACTTTTTTACTCTTCGCATTTTTGCTATAAACTTACTTGTTTAGGAGCTACATGATGTAAAATGTACACCGGAAGTCATTTTTCCATATGCTGTAACTCCTAAACGAGTGGGTTTATCGAAAAAATGTCAAGGATAAAAAAGTTTGTAAATTGCCTATTCTATCCGAAAACATGATAAAATATGGGGTGTTAAAATCATATTTTTAACTACCACAAAAATAAAGGAATGTCCCCCATTTTAAGTTTTCTCTAATTCTTAACGTTTCCGATATCCCAATGGTGGCCTCCTTGAGTTGATCACCCTCTAACGTATAGCCTATATTTATTTATTTATATATTTTTCCCGGGGGAAACCCCAGGACCTTCACCTTCTTTTATCCTTTTTGGGGGGTATTCCATACCCCCAGGCCCCCGGTGACCCCCCCCCCAAAATATATGTCTAGGATCGTCCTTGTCTTCTTAACCTATAAAACACGTGTGATACAGCCTTTCTTCACTGATCACGTAATGCGTGATTTTCTATAAAGTCTTGGGAAAATAAAAGGTAAAATAGATAGAATACAGATGTACTGTATGTGGTTTACAGTTTACACACAAATATTCATCAAACTGTGTGATATTTTGTTATTGCAAAGAACAATTTGGGAGTATCGTATTGTTTAAGTCGATGGAAAATCTCTGTTGATCCTGTTTTACAAGCAAACCAAAAAGATACAGTAGTCACCACTCTATGCGACATATTCTAACCAGAAAATTGTAATCGTATGATTCTATAAGCATTGGTAGGATTGCAAAGTACTACACAAACATTATTTCAAGGGTAATAACAGTCACAATTTCCGCTGACTTTAAAAGAGTCAACTAAAATATTATACTAATGGACACACAACTAAATGGAACAACTAATGGAAATACTCACGATGTACATATAACAGTTCGATATAAGCATTGAGTATACACGTCAGTAGATACGTGTATACCCAATGATATAAGCAACGGTTCTTGCAATTTATTGTTTATTGTTTTTTAGAGTTGTTTCGGACTTACTCACACTCGTATAAGGTTGTCCACGTTTGTCAATGATAATGTAGCCATGTTGCTTTAAAATGGCGACCATACAAATGTATGCATTTTAAGCCTAGTATGAATGGAGATGAGTGTGGGATGAGTGGAGCGATCTTGTTGTCCTGTTTGTGACTAAGGCCGACATAATCCTTAGACACAGCTGTTAAT